CTCGTGGCTCTTCTCTGGACTTGTTCCAACAGTTCCATGTCCTTTTTATGCTGAGGACACCAGAACTGCACACAATGCTCCAGGTGAGGTCTCATGAGAGCAGAGTAGAGGGGCAAGATGACGTCCTTTGACCTGCTGGTCACGCTCCTTTTGATGCAGCCCAGGATACGGTTGGCTTTCTGGGCTGCGAGCGCAGCAGCCCAGCTGAAGCTGGCTCATGTTCATTTTCTCATTGACCAGCACCCCCAAGTCCTCCTCTGCAGTCCTGCTCTGAATCTCTTCTTTGCCCAACCTGTAGCTGTGCCTGGGATTGCTCTGACCCAGGTGTGGGACCTTGCACTTGTCATGGTTAAACTTCATGAGGTTGGCATTATTCCACCTCACAAGTGTGTTGAGGTCCCTCTGGATGACATTCCTTCCCTCCAGCGTATCAACCGAACCACACAGCTTGGTGTCATCGGCAAACTTGCTGAGGGCGCGCTCAATCCCACTGTCCATGTCAGCGATGAAGATGTTGAGCAAGACCGGTCCCAACACCGATCCCTGAGGGACACCACTCATTACTGGTCTCCAGCCGGATATTGAGCCATTGAGTGTCCTAGTTGTTCCTGTTCAATGTACAGCATGGAATGGGTTTGGAGGACACAAACTCGTTTCCTTTTCTGGTAAATTGAAAGATACAATCTCAGTGTTACTGAGCATTCAGTTCACTGGACTAGAGCAGAGCGACTCTGAAACATTAGAAATAATGTCTTCTTCCCTCCCTAAACGTAAGTAGTGCCAACATCAGGTCCTCAGTACTGAATTTTGGTGAGTAGATGGAGATTATGCTGAAGCAGGTTGTCCCCTTTTAGCCCATGGAGGGCCACAGCGGAGCAGGTATCCACACTGCAGCCTGTGGGGGGCTGTAGCAGGTAGACATGCCCTGAAGGAAGCTGCAGCCCGTGGAGTGCCTGTGCTTGGGCAGTGTTTACCTAAAGGATCGTAGCCCATGAAGAGGACCTATGGTGGGGCAAGGAAGAAGTGTGAGATGCTATTATGGACTGACCATAACCTGCCATTCCCCATCTTCACCAGAAGTTCATCACCAGCAGAGTTGCCAGGCACTGGAACAGGCTGCTCTGAAAAGTAGCTGAGTCATCATCCCTGCAGCTGTTTCAAAGACATGTAGACACATGGTACTTAGGGAGATGGTTTAGGGGTGGGCTTGGAAGTGTCAGGTTAATGGTTAGACTCAATGATCTTAATGTACCTTTCCACGCCAAATTATTCTATGATGCTGTCTCCGCTTGGGGAGAAGCAGGGAGGTGGAGGAGTTCGGAATAAAGGAGTGAAGTTGTGTGTGGGAAGAAAGGGGAGCATAGGGAGAAGGTGGTTTGGTTCTTGTTTTTCTCACCTTTTTTTCTTCTTTTTTTTTTATGTTTTCCTTTAAATTGGCTGTAAGTTTAATTTCCCCAGCTCAAGTCTGTTTTACTTGTAATGGCAGTTGGTCATCTCGCTTCTGTCTTGACCTACAAGCTCTTTCATTTTACTTTCACTCTCCATCCTATTGAAAAATGAGAATGAGAGAGTGGCTAGGTGGGTGGGTGTCTGGCAGCTAGCCAGCCAAGGCCAGCCCACCATACTGTGTGCCTAAAATACGTATTTCAACTTAAAGAAGGTTGAAAGAATTTTTATTATTTTTTTAAACATCAAGTAGTTAATTTTTTTTTTATATTAGGAACATGGGTAAGAATTTAGCTATCGCATTTTGTGAGCCAGTAGTAGCGCCTTGTTTAGCAGATGAAATTAAAACGCTTTTAGTCCACTCTCACTAGAGGCATACAAATCTGCTTCTCCCTTCAGATCTCTAATGTGGTGGCTGAGTGTTCTGTAACAGGATTATTTGCCTGCTAGTGCCTTGCAATGCTTTGTCACGCCAGCAGTGTTGAGCAGTACCATGAAGAGCAGGACTGGGAAACTGATCCAGATGAGTATTCTTCCTCCTGGTTGTTTTCCAGCTGAGTATCTTTCTTGATCCAGTTTACATCTCAACTCTGCAAAAACCTTTTGCTGGCATAATGGAAAGGATGGAGCAGCATGGGCAGGTGAGGCATGGACTGAAGTGGGTGTTGCTGCTGGAATTGGGTCAGGGAATGGATGAAGAAAGGCTCTATGTTTAGATGGTGTTTAGAGGTCTGTGAGGTAGAGATGTGACTCTTCCAATCAGAGACTCCAAATAGAGACATATACTTGTTCTCTTTTTAAATTCCAGATGCTATGGGCTGTGAAATGACTTTTGAGTCAAATACTTCCCCCCCCCCCCCTTGATCTTTCCTAATGATTTTTTTTAATGAGTTTTTCTACAGCAACTTTTGCTTCCCTGAATAGAAATGTTTAGTTTTTATTTAAATTTACATAACAGGAAAGATAGCTTTCTCCTTGATATTAACCCTCCACGTTGAGAAGGTGGTCATTGATGGAGTTGTGTGTGGGAGAAGATGTATGGCTGATTTCCAAGTTCTTGTTTTGTAGAAAAAAACGTTTTTAGTTGTTACCAGGCAACAAATACTCTTTAAATGTAGGAGATCAGTTAGAAAGAACAGTTATGCTGCAAGAGGTGTGTTGCCTGGCACTCGAAGTTGCAAATAACAGTACAAGTTATAGGACTTGCTTGTGCCAGACCTTCAGAATTTCAGCGCAGACTTTGTGGTCAAGGTATGGATGCCACCTTATTCATGAACTGCTCCAGGAATTAGAGTGTCATCTAGTACAATGTCAGCAGTTTCAGGCTTTTTGTTGCCACTAAAGGCTATATTTGATGCCTTGAAGGGCTGCTCAGGTCCCTGCAGTACTATGTGCAGTCTTTGCTCCAAACATGTTGCTTTTTCCAGCCATACCTAAGTATTTATTTCAGTGCTCATGCATCAGGATTTTTTTTTTTAATCATGTGGCCAGAAATCTTCCTAAATACATTTATAATCAAGGCTGGAAGAGGGTGTGTAATGGGAAGCCTTCTTGGTTAGGAGAGATGAACACAAAGTTATTTTGTTGGCATTCAGAGAGACCTTGACAAGCTGGAGAAATGGGCCAACAGTAATCTCCTGTAATTCAACAGAGAGAAAGGCAGAGTCCTGCACAAGTGCAAGCTGGGGACAGCTGCCTGGAAAGCAGCTTTGCCAGAAAGGACCTGGGGGTTCCAATGGACAGCCAAGTAACCATGAGCCAGCAATGTGCCCTTGTGGCAGCGAAGGCCAGTGGTATCTTGGGCTGCGCTGGAAGTGTTGGCAGTTGGTTGAGGGAAATAATCCTTCTATTTAGCACTGGTGAGACCACACCTAGAATACTGGATCCAGTTCTGCGCTCTTCAGTGAGAGAGAGACATGGACATACTAAGTATGTCAAGTGAAGGGCTGCAAATGTATTTTAATATATCTTAAGGCATCTGGTATGAAGAGAGGCTGAGGGATCTGGTGATGTTTAGCCTGGAGAAAAGAAGGCTTGGGGCAAGGGAATCTTAAGGGTGCATATGAATACCGGATGGAGGTGATAAAGAGGACAGAGCCAGGTGCTTTTCAGTGGTGTCAGGTGATAGGACAAGAGGCAATAGGTGCAAATAGAAAAATACAGTAACTTCCACTTAAGCATAAGAAGAAAGATTTTTTGCTATAGGGATGATTGAACACTGGAACTGTGTTGTGGAATCTGTGTTCTTGGAGGTGCTCAGAACCTGTCTGGTTATGGTCCTGAGCAGCTGACTCTGCTGACTCAGTTTACCCAGCTCTGAGCAGTGGTGGTTGGAGTAGATAATTTTCAGAGGTTACTTCCAACCTCAGCTATCATGTGATTCTGTGAAATGATCAGACAAGAAGGCTTTTCCTTCAGTTTTACCTCTCCAGCTGTTGATTATTCTTCACTGCAGGTGACTCAGCTGTTGGACACAAGTGACTAATAGGTTTATAGTGAATTTAGCAGTCATTTCCAAAAGCATCCCTTCTGGAGAGGGCAAAACCTGTTCTTTTTCCTCAGTAATTTCAGTGTGATCTGGGTTTTTTGGGCTGTATTTCTGTTGTGGGTTTTGTTGTTTTTTTTTTTTTGTAAGGGTGAGTGACTGGGAAAAATCTGTTGTTATTCTAACCTTCCAGTGCTCATTTTTGTCTTGTGCTGCAGACTCATTGCCAGTGCTTCTCTCTTCTATTGCTCTTTTTTTATCTTTTTCCCCAAACAGCAGCAGATTTTGATATTTTATTTTATTTTTTAATAAACTTGTGGCTATTCACTATGTTCAGAATGCATGGTTGGAAACAGCGACTGATCACTTTCACTGCTGTAGCTTGGCAAAGCTGCAGGAGTAAGTATTGAGAACTCGGTTTTTGTGGAAGACTGTGTAGAGCACATGGTGGTGGGTTACATCTGTCTGTGGCACGTTCTTTTTGGAAAAGTCAATATATGAAGCAGTATAATAATCAAAAATGGTAACATTTTCAGGAAGCTGATGGCATCTATCCTGGAGAGCTAAATTCTTTCCTATATAAAAAAGAACAGAGATAAGTGCTTATCTTTTGCATTGTACAAAGTGTGTAAGTCAAACCAGTGATTTTCAATCTGCTGCACACAGTTAAGCACAACAGACTTTGTGGTAAAAGGTGTGTTGACAGTCTTAATCCAGAGTGAAAATTCCAGATCGCCTGTGTATTTTGGTATGTGTTTCTGACTCTTTAGCTTGTTAAAAGATTTCTCATTTTCTTTCTCTGATTTGTATAGATGGAAGAAAACAAACACAGTCTCCTTGGCTTTTGTTGCTGAGAAAAGAGAACATTTCAGGAACAGACTGAACCGGAGATAGGATGCAGAGTTCATTGTCATTTCCCCTCTGTTGTGTAGGCTGATGGGGTATCGCTAGCAGCCTTTCTCTCTTAACTTTTTAGTATATGATTACAAATTACAAAGGTGCACAAGAGAAATCTGTGTATTGCTATAGCAGAGTTGTTAATCTCTTGTTTCTCTTTTCCTCCCCACAGGAATCAAGCATGATGGGACTATGTGTGATACTTGTCGACAACAACCCATCATTGGCATCCGATGGAAATGTGCTGAATGCACAAATTATGATTTGTGTACGGTTTGCTATCACGGGGACAAACATCACTTGAGGCATCGTTTTTACAGAATTACCACACCAGGAAGTGAAAGGTAAAAGATAATTTTTCCCCCCATGAAATTAAATAAGAACACTTAATTGTGGTTAGTATTAAACTGCAGATTTTGTTACTGAAATTTGGTTTAGGTAAGATAGTGGCTTGAGGTGTAGATTCTGTTACTGGCTCTGCCTCTTTGTGAGGGAGGGTAGCTAGGACAGATCTTCGTAGCTTGGAAAACACGGAAATTTTCAGAAGAATGGAGTTAAGAAAAAAGGATATGATTATTCAGTTTCTTTGATCTCATTGCAGTCATCCTAGTTCTTGTGTTATCACATAGCAGCTTTAAAACAAAGGTAGTTATCTGTACACAATGTATAATCACAAAATGATTTGTCAATGAATTCCTGAATGTGAAAGCTTAATTAGGCTCAAAAAATGATGTAGACAGATTGAGGGAAAATAACCTGTGGGCTATGAAAAACAGAATGATCTGGAGGCAAAACCTTTGACTTGAATTGCTTAAACTGCACACTGCAGAAAGCAGAGAAAAGATGCTATGCAGGTTGTTCTACCCTTGCCTGGGTTTTCATGTTCTTTGTAAGCATCTGTGCTTGTCTCCCAGCAAAGAACTGAACAGAATGGTCTTTTAGTTTGCCCTTGCATAGCTGTTCTTGTGTTCTTGGCTTTAAATAACTTGTCTAAATCCGTAGCCCTTTTCTGTCAAGGTTTATCAACCAATTAAGTGAGAACAGTAATACTTGCCTGTTGCTGAATGCTTGGAGAACTGCGATAAAACGTTGTGTAAAGGTATATGCTGTGCTGTCACCTCTGTGATGACTCTCCAGAAAGTTCTTTCATAAAATTATTGGAAGCTTTTTTATTAGATATGATAGTCAGTTAAATGTGTGTAGGACATTTATTTCCTCTTCTTGGAGAAGTAAGGTTTACAAATATGTTGTAATTCAGTGATGTGCTTTATCAGTGCTTTTACAGTAAAGGGAAGTGGTTGGAACACACAGACTGTTCTCATATGGTGTTTTGTAGGGGCTGTGTTTATTTTCTCAAATGTTTATCTTGAAGTTTAACTATGGCTCAAATGCCCAGGTCAGTGGCTTTATCAAAATTTAGCTTCTGTTTTTTTTTTGAGATTGATACCAGCAGATCTAGGTACCAAATAGATATAATAAGCTTAGAGACTCAATTATAATGTTTAGTGCAGGACAAGACTTAGAAGTTGGATCCAAGAGTAGAAAGTGCTGGCTTAGTGTAATTAAGTTGTCTGTTACGGTATAGAAAGATAAGCTTTATTTTTGGAGATAGACTGTATGGAAGGTATAGAATTGCAGGAAATCTTTTGTGTCTTGTCACTTTCTCCCATGAGCTCCGTTTTGCAACTCTTTATTGGGATGGCAGCTTCATCTGCCAAGGAACTGTTTCTACTGGAGCGAGCTTAGCTGAGAAAAGTTGGTTGAAGTTAACTGAGGTAGGAGAAAAGGGCAAAGCAATGCTATCGAAGTTGAGGAATATTTCAAAATAGGAAAAATGGCAAGAGGCATCTAAGGACATTTCGATGAAGTGTAAGCTCTGTGTACTTTATTCTTGAGCCTGGGATATCATACAGGTAGCATGTGAAAGTAATGCATGCTGGTTTTTTTCTCAGTTTTGTAGGTGTTGAGGACTTTCTAAAATACTTATATAAACAGAGTATCTTTCTGTTTCCTATCACGCTTTCATATTACTTGGATAAAAACGGCAAATATTTTCATGTGCTCTTTGCATTGATTGTAGTAGTTAATTTTTTTTCCTTGTCTGCCATCTGCTGGATGCTAAAAGCTTAGCAGGAGGGCGATACACTTCTGGAAGAGGTCGGGAATCTTTCAGAATTTCAGATGGAAAAATACTTTTGTCAGGCAGCATTTTCCTGGCATGAAGTAGGAAATCTAGTTGCATGCAAACTGGTAGCTTTTGAGATGGCTGAAAAGGCAGGAAAATGTCTCTTTGTTGCTATTTGTAAGTTAAATACTCATGAATTATTTCGTTTGGGATTATCTGCTTAAATTCTGTGGAAATCAGAGGGAAAGAGGTTTGCTTTAGAAAAATGACATATTATGACTGAAAAAAGAGGCTCCAAGATACTGAATAAAATTTGCCAAGATATGCTATGAGTATATAGAAAATAGATTGAGACATGGAGGGGAAACAGGTGTAAAAGTGTCAGTGCAATTGCAGGAGGGTAATACTGGCCTAGGGTGCATGTAAGAGAAACAGAAGTGTGTTGCTTATATGACTCTCTAGGTTTCTTTAATGATTTTAATAATGAGTATAGATCTATATGTAAGTATACAAGACTATTACTGGTAGTAGCAAGTTTGGAGAAAAAAAATCATTAGAATTAAAAACTAATTATAAACATACAGTAAATGAGATTTAGGAAGATTGTGACTTTATCTTGTGGGCTGCTGTTCAAGTTGAGAATCGAATGAATGTGATTCACTGATTGAAGTCTGTGTTTGTGGGTTTGTTTGTTGGTTTTTTTTTGTTTCAAGATGCTCTCCTTTCTTCCTGTCCCCAAAGATTCGTTTTGGACATTTTTTTTTTTGTTATCTTGACACTTGTGGGTTCTTCTTTTAATAACTTCAGGGTATTGTTGGAGTCTCGCCGTAAATCAAAGAAAATTACAGCAAGAGGAATCTTTGCAGGTGCCAGAGTGGTGCGAGGAGTTGACTGGCAATGGGAAGATCAAGATGGTGGCAACGGGCGTAGAGGAAAGGTAAAATTAAAACTGGTTTAAATAAGAAGATGCATTTCTGCATGCTCATGTAATGGTCTCAGTGGCCTTTCTAATTGTAGAGTAAAAATATGAGCATTAAAGTTAATATTTTAATTTGCTGGGCATTTTTTAATCATCTTCTGTAATGCTCAAGTCTTTAGAAAGAAGAGGGGAAGTATACTGTGACTGGGTCTTTTAAATTTCAATGTACCTTTTTTACAATGCCAGCACAAAATTTTTCAGACTACTAAATTTTCATCTTGGTGGTTTTGCTAAGGGTGGTTTGTAATAACATTAAGATCTTTGGCATATTTCAGCATTAATAGAGAGCTAGTATAGAAATATAACTGTCAAGAATATCCCTTTCTGGTCATCACTGCATTCTGTAGTCTTGTTGCTCGTGGGTCAGGACATTTGTATAACTCTTGCTCTTGGTTTTCAATGCTTGCACCATAGATTTTGGAGGTTTTTTTTTAATATAATAATCATATGGACTTTTCCAGTTTAAATCAAAAGTTCTGCGCGTGTTGGATATGGGTATTAGATTACTGGCTTATGACATTATATGACTGGTTTTAATGTAGTTGTATAATAAAGTGTTTGGATTTATTGAATATTGCATGGAATGATAGGTTGCTAATCATGATCTTTGCAAATTTTCCATTTACAACTTACACGGAGAACTAATGAAGGTTTATTACAAGTATGAACATACAGCAGGAAGTGTAAAATATACTATGACTTTTATTACCAAATATGAGATGTTCTAGGTGAATTGGATGCACTTGTATCTTGGTGAACTAGTGGGTTTTGTTGCATTTTGTTTTAGAACACTTAAGCAGCATTTAAAAGGTCAGAAGTTCCTGGATAAGATACTTAGCCTATTTTATAGCCTAGATATTTACAGAAGCTTTAGGACTTTTGGGGATTTCATTTTGGATTTTATTAAGAGGAAATACTAAATTTAGATTTCTTAGAGCAAAGGCCCTTTACAGGCAGCTTTTGTTCCATCTTAATTATTTACCCCTTGCTTGTGCCCTTGAATTGGGCAAGATATTTTGAGATCTGTGAAACTTTGCAGAATGAGTCTTATACTTCATTGTCTGATTTTTGTACTGAACTTGAATTGGTGGGATTGTTTGCAAGCTGAAAATATATATAAAGGTATATAAATGTTTGCAAAGAGGAGAAGCAGATAGTAAATAACTGGAAAAGATTTAAAATAAATACGGATAAGAATGAAGGCAAATTCTGGAAATGCATTTTCTTTTTAATAATGGAAATTTTTTTGTGATTTGGTGCATGGCTTTAGGATATCAGAAATGTCAGGGAAAGTCCTTTTCACTCTGCTTTTGTACTGTTGAACAGGTTGGCTCTGGAAATAAAACATTGTCTTCTAATATAGCGCACCACCATCAGGCTAATGCAGGTTAAACTAGGTAAATTGAAGCAATTAAAATAGTTTTTGTCCTGGTTTTTGTAGTTAAATGCTGCTTCTAATAAGAAGCATCATAAAATAAATTTTTACAGTTCATATTTTGTTTTCTATTTATGGAGTTAGATGGCCTACCAAATATACAAGAGAGAAATAGGCCTATAAAGTACCTATACAGGCTGCCATCTTCTTAAGATGGGAACGCTCGTATCAAACAGAAACCGGCTTCAGAATAAATTGTATTAAACTCACTGGAACTGCTGTATCCTGAAGTATTCTGGAGAGATGAATGAGGTTTTAAGTCCAAATTGTGTTTCTAAGTCTTTGTTCTACAAGCAATTTTCTTATTTTTAAAACTGAATAGGTAACTGAAATCCAAGATTGGAGTGCGTCAAGCCCGCATAGCGCAGCATATGTTCTTTGGGACAATGGAGCTAAAAACCTTTACAGAGTTGGCTTTGAGGGCATGGTAAGTATAAAAGAACACAAAGGGTAAAATGCATGGTGGGGGAAGGGAAGTAAGGATAACTCATTGTGCTTTATTATCCTGCTTTTGTAATATCCTTTGTCAGTTTGCGTGCTATTAGTCAGGTCATTGTGAATACAGCTGTATGGATCATGCATATGTATTAGTAAGAAAGTCTGATCTGGGAATTTATAAGACCTGTGAGTAACTTCAAGTTAAGGGCTGCTTTTTGCCAGTGTGGTAAATGTTTATGTTGCATGCATGATTATCTTACTGTGCTACTGTTGCGCTTAAAACTCAGAAAAGAAGGTTAGTTATGAAGTCCTTAAAGACCCTATTTGTTTAACTCCTGAACTCTTCATTTCAGGTCAAAATTTGGTGTGATTACTGCAGTATTTTAAATTACTTGCAACACTCGGAACCCCCTTGAGAGCATTTTTGTTTCGTCAGTGGAAGGGTGTTGAATTAAGTTACAATCTTGATTTGTTTTAGCACTATATTTTTCACTTCCTAGCTTCTACAGCTTCTTCTGCAGCTTTAGAGAGAAAATGGGTGAGACTGCAGCTTAAGTGCCTTCTGTTGCTGGGTTTTCTTATCCTAATGTGGGTCAGGGAAGGGTTACTTTGATTATCAACTGCTTTACAACATCTTAATTAGCATTTCTTTGCATGATTTTTGTTTGATTTTGCAGAGGAAAATCATGTTAACATTGAAGTGTCATCTTGTCTGATGTGTATAGTAAAAAAAAGTTAAACAATGGCTAGTCAGCTTACTGTGCCTTGTAGCCTTACTTGAAATAGAGTTTATTTTTATAGTAAAAATAAATACTAAATATCACTTTTGCAGTAAATACATATTTTAGCATCAGGTTTAAAAAAAACAGACATCTTTAGTGCAGGTCAGCTTTTCTGATGAGTGAAGATGCTAATGATAAGATATAAGTCAATATTGAATTACGTGCTTCATGGCCTCCTTCTCCCCTCTGAGTTCTGAAGAAAATTCTCTAAATACTGGCAAAAGGGAAAGAAAGTTACATATAGTATTTTGTAGTGTAATATTATTAAACCAGTTGTTGGTATCTTCTGCCTTGTATTTGACTGTGAGGCATGGTAAAGGAACACGATTACAAAATGTAGATAGAATAAGATACAGATTGTCTTTTTGTTGCTGTAATTTCAGTTACTGTGTTAAAATCTGTGGGCTGCATAAGTAGGAGTGCTGTGGAATCATTAAAGGTTCCTTCTGGCCTCAGGAAAAAATATGTTTAAGATAAGTTAAATTCTGTTCAGATTATATATTCCCATAGTAAGAAAAAATATATTTATTATTTGTAAATCCAACAATATTCTGTTGCCAAACTTGCCACACAAGGAAGTGTTAAACATTTCTAGACTGCTTGATTTATTTCTGAAGCTGTAAATTTCAATAGATAAGTGTGGTTCTTCCCACAAGACTCGGACGAATAGAAATATTAGGTCAATCATTTAGTTAACAACAAAAAAATCTCTAAAATGTGTGTGAAACTACATATATGTTATATATATGGTAATATATAAATAATATGCATACATATATATAAAAGAGTAACTTGAGGCTTTATATGTAGTGTTTACCTAATTGTAATCCATTCCTACAATAATTTTATCTTTGTCAGAGACTTCTCTCAAACGCAGTTTTCACTCCAGACAAAATGGGTTGTTGGATATCTGTGACAATCATTTAAATGTAATACTGAATTTTGTAACTGATTAATTGCTGGCTATGTGTACAACTCATTATGGTTATTTACTACTATTTATGTGCTGTTATGTAAAACTGAGTAATAGTCACAAAATTCACATGAAGTTGGGGCAAACTTCTTTTGAGACTTACAAATTGGTTAAGAATGTCAGGAGAATGTGGAATCAACAATACTGAGAGTGTGTACCCATGTAAATACAGCTGGGAAGAGACCCCTTACTTGCAAATGAATAACACTTGACTCATGCAAATAGAGTTGATTAAAGAAACACAACTCATTATTGTAAGTTGCGGTTGCTTGTTTGATAGCTGACAGGCTGCATCTGGTCCTCAAAATTAATCTATCTGGCCTGCCAGCTTTTCTTTTGGAGTGATGAGAATTGGCTGGTGGGCAGCAGGTGCTGGCTGAAAACTTGCATCTATTTGTGGTCTGATGTTTAGAGTTTTTATCTGAGTTTGTTCTTGCTGTGTTTACGTATAAAGTGGTTGACAGAGGTGCATCTTGTCTTTCTTTGTGAAGCCTGGCATTTAAATCTGGGACTTTCTTCTGCCACAAGGCCACAATTTCCCAAATTAAAATCTGTGTTTATGATGCTCATAGGTTGAATAGCATGTTTGCTACATCTGTAGTGGGAATAAATTGTTGACTAATATGGTTACTGATGCTGTTTGCCTTTCATCTCTATATGTATTCAGATTCTAGAGCCAGACTGAGCTGTTAGCCACCTTGGCTGCTTTAGAAGCATGTGAACATGGCCTTTTGCAATGAAAAGATAACACTATGTTGGAATTGGGGGGTCCATGAGAAGGCTATGATTTAGCTTTTTGGACTTGTTTCTAGTTTTTATTTTTTTGTATCGCACAATAGAGGATGTACAGCTGGTAACTTCCGTTGGTTTTCAATAAATGTTATAGTCTGCTACGTAGGATGATTTTGCTATGAAAACTTCAAGTAACAGTTCCATCAGCAGATGTGCTCTAAATCAGTTTAATTATTTAGGAATTGTCTTTTTGCTACCAATTTTTTTTTGCCCTGTACTACTTGCCTTTTTTTTTTTTTCTGTGATTAACCTCCTCATCTTGTTTTTCATTATGAAGGACCTTGCTTTCTCTGTGAAGTCTCTGAAAGAAGTAGCTGTACTTATAATCCATCATTGTCTCAGTAATCTGTAAGCCATCTGTGTTTGTGTACTTCTTTTCCACGAATTTTGAATGGTTGAGTGCATAAGGGAAATCAAGAAGATTCCTTCCCCTTGTGTTTTTGATGTTGCTTTAAACTGTCTTTTCCTGTTTGACACCTAATGTCTGTTCATCAGTATTTATTTGGGTTACCCTAACAGATAATCCTTGAAATTGCTCAAGAGGATTTTAAGAATGATTTACTCAAACTCTTTTTTAAATAAAACCGAGGTAAATGTCTTGGCATACCAGGCGTTGCAGGTGTTATGAAACATATAGAAAGATGCTTTCTGCTGCAGTTACAACTGTCAGATCTGAAATGTGAGTTAAACCTTCAGCACTCTAGTCTTTTAGTTTGTCCCCTGTATACTCAAAATGAGGGGTTTAGGAAAGAGCAACAGGAATTTTCATTATCTTGTTAGTTTAGTGTCCTGTTGCTTCTAGGAGCTAATCAAAACTGGTTTAAAACACAGATGTGAATTTTGGCCGCTTTTTAGACATGCAGCGGGTGTTTTTTATTACATTACTTGCAGTGTGGCCAGATTTAGGTGGTTAGTTGTTTGGAAATCCAGTGCAGAATTAGTTATTTATGTGTACTATATGCATTTATTTGCACTTGTCAGCAGACCTTGCTTTTTTTGTCTTGTTTGCATCGTCTTATTTTTTTACGTTTCTCCTATAGTTGCAACCAAGCCAAGTTTTTCATCTCTCTATAACCGAGTTGCTTAGAAGCATATTTCTGTTAACCAGAAACATACTTAGTGATCCTTTCCAATGTTGTTATTTACAGTATTAACCCACAAGGAAGACTTCACAATGGTCCTCCTTAAAAAAAAGTTACACATGGAAAAGCTTTATAAGTAACTATCATCAGTAGACCATAAGATTATAAGTAGTTCACTCAGGATTTGCCTGAGGTCTGATTTCTTCCGTGGGAGGCTGTTGCTTAGTTTTTATACCTCACACCTCTCTGTCATTTCAGTCACTTTCTACACCATCTTCTACTTTCTCCTTTTATTGCTTTCACTTTTCTCAATTTCTTGAAATTGAAAGTGGTTTGAGTTCACTAAATTTGAAATACAGCATTTCTTATAAACTTTTTAGCTAAGCTTACAAATTTATCCAGTTCTTGTTGTCTTAGCCAGGTGAGAAAGCAGCATGCACTAGGCTTATTTCCTTGCCAAAAGCTGTTGAGAGTTTGAAAGACTTAAAATGACCTTTAAAGTGTGTATTTGTTGCTACCTCAAACACCTGCAGCTGTGGCACAGTTCCTGCCGGTATATCTAAGATCTGTATTAATTTCTGTCCTGGTATTTGCTGCTAGTGTCAGATGCTGTTTCAGTGTGTCTGGATCAAACATTCTTCTTTTCTCAGCAGAACACCTAGTTTTCTTACCAAGCATGTAGGCTCCCTGGTTTTAATGAATGGCATTCCATATTGATTTGAATAACATAGTAGGCAGCTGCTCCTTCAGCACTGTTTTCCTCTTCGAGGTCAGGGATGATAGCACTTGTACATCATCTGCCAACACTGCTGACATTGCTGTAATATACTTTGTTTTCTTCTCTGAAGTTTTTATGGTAATGAAATTTTTGCTGATTTCTAATGGTGTAGTTGGATGGCAAGTCAGAGCAAACTGTTACATTTCTCATTTGACTGAGCAGATTATGATCTTTATGTAATCCAGTCACATACAGCTGGAATGCAGAGTTTTCCAAGCAAGTCAGAAGGTAGATGCTAGAAGAACAAAGTTCTCCACGTGGGCAGAATGCATTATTACCCACTGCTCATGTGCATCAGCTGTTAGTACTGGTCTGAAGGTCCTGCTGTGTGATGTTTTATGCTCATGCTGTTCCTTGAGTTTTCATTATAGTGATTCCCTCCTTAACTGGGGGCTTCAATCTCTTCTCTAACTATGCACAGATTCCTCAAAATCCACAACTTGTTTTTCTGTTTCTTGAAAGAATCCTGTTCAGGATTCATTGAATGATTTTTCCATCAACTTACTGTATGTTTTGCTTTCACTTTGCACGTTTGTTTCCACCGTGTATTTACACCCAGCCTAACAGTTCTTTTTCCACACAGTGTCACCTTGAGTTTAAAACTCGCACTTTTAACGTCTTTTGTGCTTCTTTACATTCCCTTTTGCACTTGTATGTCTCGTCTCCAAACAGTCTGCTGTTTCAATCCATTTAGAAGACTCATGGAAACAAATATACCTTGTAAAAATCCTGGTGGGTTTCTCTAAAGCATGGTACAGCAGAGGCTGCCGAGTGAGCAGGAAAGCTGGCAGCAATAGGTATGTTTGTGTTGCATCTCACTCCTGCCGCACAGTCCTCAGGGGAGGATGACCAGTAGCTTACCACCACCCAATATTTAGCTTAAACTGCTTGGGCAAAAAGAAAACTTGTTTTCTGATTAAACAGAGTAGCGGAGTGCCAGAAGTAGAATTACAGTTGCTTACCCAGCTTTCCTGGTACTGAAGAACAGCTAAATACAGTTTCCTATCTTAAACCCCCAGTGTTTGGTTATGTTTCTTTAAGACATCTGCAGGCCTTTGTCATGTTGATGTTACTTAGTAGCGCTGTTTGCAGGGTTGCTGAAAGAACTCTGCTGTATATACAGGTTTATACTGCTTTATCTGTGTCAGTGCTTCGTCCTTCTGTGTGTTTTCTGTCCTCAGTAAGCATGTTGCACTGCTTTTCTGTGGCACTCCAGATCAGACTCTTGTTTTACTCCTTAGCAATCTAACATTCACTGCATTATGTAAGTGAAGGAAAGGCAGATGTGAACCTGAGGTTGAACATCAAGCTACCACTTAGTTCTACAATGACGTATATCATCATGCTCCAGAAATAAACTCTGCAGGGCACAGTACAGGCAGGGTAAGAAGGGAGTGCAGGTTTGTTGGTTTCTGTTTGTTGGTTGTTTGGGGTTTTCTTGGTTGTTTTTTGGTGTTTTGGTTTTGTGTTTTTTTGGGGGGGTTCTTTTTGGTATTGTTTGTGGGGTTCCCCCCCTGTACAATTTAAGGCATTTTAACATGTTTCCTAATAATATCTGCTGCAAGATAGTAATTAGCCTTTTTAGTTAGTATTTTATTTCTTCTGCTAGCTTTTAGCCAACAGCCTGCTTTGTACATTAGCACTTGCTGTAGTGCAGGTGTTTGGTTTTTTTTACCCCCGTTTTGCTGGGCTGGGAGACTCATTTAGGACCCTCCCATGCTCTAGCTTAATGCTTTGAAGAATGTGAAAATGGTTCTTGCCTGTATACCCGTTTTTGACTCCTGCACAGACAGCTGGTTGTTGCATGACACGAAGAGTTTGTATTCAGCGGGTAAGACCAAGTGCTCCCGGCCACATTAAATCTCTGTTGGTTTGGAGGAATGAATGAGGTTGCCATCTGGGACGATCAGCGCAGCCCCTTTGTGTTGGCCGAGTTAAAGCCGGCACCTGCCCACCGGGTGGCAGCATTTTGTTGCAGGCCTGCTGCTGCTGCTGAACTGAGCAGACTTTCTCTCATGGCTCAGGGTTTGAAGGGCAGCTAAATCTCGTTATTGTCGTCTGACTGTTTTCATCACTTTTTCAGACGGTGGGGGTACATTCTGTGTAGATGAGGGTGTAGATCAGGATGAACACCGAGTTTTGTATTGTTTCTGGCTGCTTGGCAGTTAGAGGTCACTGAGGTCATAATTGTGTTCAGCAGTGCCTTGATGATTTGTAGCACTCGAGAGTTTTAATTTTAATCCTTTTGCAGGAACACAGTCTGATGATAAGTCTTGGGTGTGGGGAAAAATGATTGTTAAAGTATTTGTTTGGTTCTGGTTGATCATATCATAACCACCACCTGTCCTCCGTTTCCTCCCCCATCCCATAGACTACTCTGACACATTTTGCAAACGGTTTCCCATCTCCTTCCCAAGTCATTGTACACATGAAATGCCCTTAGTTTAGTGAGAATTGTTCCATAAGGAGCAATAGCAGATGGCAGCCATTTGGCTTTAAGGATTACACAGGAAAAAAAAAGAGGAAAAGAGAATTATAGTAACTCTGCTGACTTTTTGAGTAGTTGGTTATCACACTTGAAATATCTGTTTCTCTGATAAAGTGAAAGGGTGAGCTTTAGAACCCTTGTCTTTAAAGAGATCATGTTTAGCTCAGCATATTGTTTGAGCTTTTTTTAAATGTAATATCCTTATGGTTTGTGTATTCTTATTTGGAAATTCTTCCTTTTGTAGAATCTGGGTGCCAGGTTTTCTTCTCCAAGTTAAATATGTATCTGTCAAAAAGGGTTGGGAAGAAGGGGCAGCACTGGCAGGCATTAAATAAGTACAGGAAAGGCTGTGGCCTCGGGTGCTGACTGCAGATAGTTGTTTGTGGGGATTTTTTTGTTATTGCTTTTTTGATTCCTTGCTTGAGTTCTCAGACATTTTAGAACTTCATAGCACAATACGAAGGAGCGTTGTGTTGTTTTAATACCTGCCTTTGAGTTAAAAATGTCTCATCCTTTCTAGCCTTTTATATTGGTAAAGGTTATTAAAATCTTGAGAGTATTAAAGCTGATAGATTGGAAAGTATTTGAGATTATATGCATCACTAATGAATTCACGGGACATAGTTTTTTGTACACATAATTTTAAGCTTTTCTTAATTGAGTACGTTTAAATTCTAATTTCATTGACTTATGTTAATCTGGAGACTGATTCAGTGAGGACTAAAGTTGTCTCAATCTCTCTCCGTAGTCTGACCTGAAATGTGTCCAAGATGCAAAAGGAGGCTCTTTCTACAGGGACCATTGTCCTGTGTTAGGTGAGTGGAAGATAAAGCCAACTTATCTTGCTGTGTGTTAATTATATTTAGTCTGGATTTCTTTCTTTTTTAAATGTCACCTGAAAGTGACATGTGAATGTCACTTACTAGTGAAACGTAAATGATAGCATTTCTCTGCATTAATGATAAATAGTAATGCTTTTCTAAAAGTATTTGGTATCGGTGCCAAGTGGATGGCAAGGGAGTAATATATTTTGTTACGTTTTCACCATATTTCTGGAGAGGCACAGCTGTGCATTCTTAGAAGACTCTCGGGTATTCAGAGGTACTTTATTTGTTTTGGTTCTTGCTTTAAAAATACAGGTCTGTGTTTTCTGCACGTAGCTTTCTTTTAGGGTGGTACCATATTTGAATGCATGAATATTAATCAGTAAAGGTAGCAGGAGACTATTCTTTGTTAAATTCTTCCCCTTCCACTAGTTAAGTTGCTCTTAATGGATGATGATGAGCTCAGTTCATCATTCTTGCCACGTTACTCACCATCTTCTCAGTCTTACTCTTTGTTTGAACATCTGTCCCTTTTATTAGCCTTCTGAACGTAGTTCAGAGATATGTTCATGCTGTGAATTTAAATGTATGCTTGCATTAATAACCTAGAAGGTTATTTTTGAAGCTTTGTGATATTTGAAGTAGAGTGCAAATAATAGTCCAACAGGAGCCTTACTAATACAGAATAGGATGTAGTGGGATCTTCTGTAGTTCTCTGCCGGTTTATATCTCTTACTTTCTTAGACTTCCATGTCTCATCAAAGCTGTGTCTGGGATGTTTGCTGTCTAAGTTTTATATCTAGTTAGTTCCATATCAACAGCTTTTCTGAATAATTAATCTCTGACATTGTCCTCTGCAGAAGTGGCTGTTTGCATGTTCTGTCTGTGTTACTGTGAAGGTCAAGGGTGCAAACTGAAAACACCGTTCCGTCTACAGGTCCTCTAAACAAAGACCAGAACAGGAAGAAGTCATTGGGTGGTCATAGAAGTCAAAGTCTAATGAACATGAGTATTTATGTATTCATGGCCATGTTTTATTTCTCAGCAGTTTCTTTTTTCAGTAGTATCAGATTCTCTTTTTTTGCCATTCTGCAACCTGGAGATTTTTAGCACTGCAACTAGTGCTGCCAACATCTGGTATAACTTTCAGGCTCTGGAATTAGTTGCCTTCCGAATAATGTTGTTGGGGTTTTTTTCCTCTGTGTCAGGCTATTTGTACTTCCTCATTATTACGTTGCAAGGGCTCTTTTTCATTATTATGTTTTGCTTGGAATAGGAAAACAAATTCTTTACTGGGAGGTTGGTGAGGTGCTGGCATAGATTGCCCAGAGAAGCTGTGGCTGTGCCATCCCTGGCAGTGTTCAAGGCTGGGTTAGATGTGGCTTGGAGCAACCTGTTCTAGTGGAAGGTGTCCCTGACCATGGTAAGGGGTTGGAACTGGAAGACCTTTAAGGTGCCTTCCAACCCAAACCATTTTATGAAACACCCCACCCCTCTCCTACTTAGAGACGGCAGTATTACTGACAGAACTCTGCTCTCCCTGTCATTTGCCACCAATGCTGCCATTGAACTGAAGCTATGTGATTTCAGAAGTTGTCATACTCTTCACTGTTCTGTGGATGGCATCAGATACCATCCTGTGTTTATGGCAGTGAGGAAGTCCACAGGTGTGTTCTCTCATCAGTTAACACAGTTTAGTATGTCAGTGTATGCAGTTTCTCTCCAACTAATGACTTTTTGCTATGGCACATCTTTTGAATGCAGGCATTGTCCAAGAGTATTTTAATTGCAAATTGGGTGGGGGGGGGTAGGGATTGTTCTTAGTCATTGTTGGTAATTTTGGAGGTGTTCTTTTGCCAGTGCTTTTTCCAAATTCAAGGATTGGACCAATTCAAAACCACTTTCTGTGGGCCTTCTGCTTATCTTTCAGCCTCTGAGTGGCCGATAGATGGCACTTTGTATGTGATGCTCTCAAAGTTATCAGAGCTTTTGTGTATCTAGATGTCTAATGCTATGTGATTACTACCATACAAGTAAGAGCCCAAAGCGGAGCCTGTCACGAGCATTTAGCATCTGCCAGTGTCACTGCTGTTTGCCTTGAAAATTTGACAAGAAAGGCATATTTCCACAGCCAGAGGTTCAGAGTTATTTTTTTACCTGTTCGCTTCCTTTTACGTGTTGGCTGCTACAGTTGCAGACATTGAGTCTCAGAAATTAACTTCTGTTCTTTTAATTGCATGAAAAGTTCATGTGGTCTTGTAAACGTTTTCTACTTACTCTGTTTCAGGTGAGCAAAATGGTAACAGAAACCCTGGTGGGTTGCAAATAGGTGACCTTGTAAACATTGACCTGGACTTGGAAATTGTACAGTCCTTGCAGCATGGCCATGGAGGATGGACTGATGGCATGTTTGAAACTTTAACGACAACTGGAACAGTTTGTGGCATTGATGAGGATCATGACATTGTAGTACAATATCCAAGTGGCAACAGGTTTGTTATATAGCCTTCATCACTGATTCTCGCAAACTTTCTTTGCCTCCAGCACTTATGAGTGATCACTTGAGGCCAGAAACATTCTGTTCTCCTTTTGTGTCTGTTAAGACTTCCTTGAGAATTTTTATATTCCTGTGTAAGGAGGACTTACCTTTAGTAGGAAAAAGAAGCTTGTTGCCTCTCTCACGTAGTGAAAATTTTGCAAAGTAATGCAAACTAAAGCCGTTTTCTCAGCTAACACAAGCTGAAAGTGGCTTTGCTTCTGAATGTCATAACTGCAGAGCCAGTGAGAGGAGCTGCTCTGCCTTGTGGCTTCCTCCCTGACTTTGTCCTTCATGGAGGTTATCTGGTGCTTCTCAACTAGATCAGATAACTGAATGAAAGTCAACCCCAAACCAAATGGCACATAAAGGAGACATCACTGTATGCTATATATTAGAATATGACTTGGCATAAAACCAGCTAAATTCCTCTAAACCAGTAAAATTTATAGTACAAATTAGGGTAGCTTGGTTAAAAATTGAAGTGTATCTAGACCATTTAATTAAAGAGTATTTTTATAACTAAATGTTGCAGCTTCTGACCTAGGTGGGAGAAGGCAAAATGCCGTGTTGTTTCCTGACAGTCCAATTCTTTGTGAGGCAACTTGGATCTTTACCCTTTCAATCAGAGTTATCTCCTTCTCTCCCTGGAAAAAATAAACAAATTGTGTAGCTGCTTTCAGGACTATTACATTGCTGTTTGTTTGCTTCCCCTTCGGCAGGATGTTTCTGTGTTGCTTTTACAACTGTAGATCTCTGAAGATTACCCTGGAAATATTCAATTAATGAGCCACAAACAATTTTCTGGACAAAAATAGTTAATGACAACTGTGCCATAGTATCCAGTTCTAGAAAGTTTGAAAGCATAAAAGCAGAATCTTGTCCAACAGATGGTTTTTAAACACATATTTAACTTTGTTTGTTTCAAATGTATTTTAAATGATTCATCGTCTAGGTGGACGTTTAATCCAGCTGTTCTCACCAAAGCCAATGTTGTCCGAAGTGGAGATGCTGCTCAGGGCGCAGAAGGAGGCACCTCTCAGTTTCAAGTGGGTGATCTTGTTCAAGTATGCTATGATTTAGAGCGAATCAAGCTTCTTCAAAGAGGTCATGGGGAGTGGGCTGAAGCAATGCTTCCGGTAAGTAGTTGTATGTTTTGACTCGTGAAATGGTAGAACTTGTATAATATTTCTAATTATGATTTTTAATAATACCTGAAAGTTATAAAAGTCAAGTTGATTTTTCTCTAAGTTAGAGAAGGTGTATTTTATCAAACATGGTGGTTACTACATGCTTGGTCAGATGCAGTAATCTGCTTTGCTTGATGAAACTTAGCTAAAGGTATTAGTGACTTCATAAAACTTGTCACTTATTATAAAACATTCAGATTTCTAAATATTTTTAATATTATTTGCATTTGATGTTTTCTGTCATGCAGACTTTAGGTAAAGTTGGTCGTGTTCAGCAGATTTATTCAGACAGTGACTTAAAGGTAGAGGTCTGTGGGACATCTTGGACTTACAATCCAGCAGCTGTCTCAAAGGTGGCATCAGCAGGATCTGCTATAAGTAATGCATCTGGTGGTAAGTTTGAAGAATAATCAAGTATTTTTGTTAAAAAATAGTTAAGTGTCAGCATATAGTTTGTATGCAAGGTTAATAATACTCGAACTTGGAGTTCGGCTAATTGATGTTATGGCTTTGAGAAAGATAAAAGAAAAAGCTTGCAGTTGCTATGGAGATGGTGGTTGTTACTGTGCTAAGATGCAAACATTCCAAACTGAAGCTGGGTTTCTGTTTAGCCACAGTGCAGATATGTCTTTGGAGGTCTCCAAGAGCTTTAAAATTGAAGTGATTGGCTTCATGAGACCAGAATAGAGACTAAGGCATGAGGAGAGTGTTGCTGGCTGTAGCAAGCAGACCCTTTGTTTAATAGGTAGCGTGGGATAGCAAGCATAAGCAAGGGATCTGTTGCAAGCAGTTACTCAGGATAATAATATTTCCTTTAAATTTTTGTCTTAAAATTTAGTCAGACATCCTTTGACTAATTGCAGTGGGACTTTTTTGTTTGTGTTTATGTAACCACACTTTAATTCTGTTTAACCTGCTCTCATTCATCTAATAGCAAGGCAGAAAGACTATGTAATGTGCTTTATATTTTGTTGGCTGTTTCACAGGTCAATTAAATTAGAATGCTTTTCCTCTTTTAAATTTTAGAATGCTTTTCCTCAACATACCTAGTTGTTTTTTTCCTTTTCACATATTTGCTTTAATGCCAAGAAACCTTTCTACATAGTTTTCTAGACTTTTTCTTAGGGAGGCATATATATGGAGTTTTCTGCAATAAAGACAAAGTCATAGTGACCATAAAACTAGCCAAAAGAGTAATATGACGTAGTGCTTCAAATTAGAGGGCAGGATATACCGTAGAAGACTAAAAAGCCTCATATCAATATGTAAATACAAGTTTTTTTACCTGGTCCCCACCCTTATCTATTTTGTGGTAGACAAGCTATTTGTGCTTCAGTCAACTTCAAAGTGTCTAGCGTGACAGTTTTTGCTGTCTAAAGGGTATTGGAATGCAGCACTTAGAGCTGAATAATAACTTACAGCTGCCATTTTGTGGTGGTTTATGTATTAGTATGTACATGCCTTTAGACACATGACAGGTTTAGCCATTATTTTTCTGTTACTTTGTGATTAGAATTGTTATTTTTTTGTTTAATAATTACAGAGAGATTGTCCCAGTTATTGAAGAAATTATTTGAAACCCAAGAATCTGGTGATCTCAATGAAGAATTGGTTAAAGCTGCTGCCAATGGAGATGTTGCTAAAGTGGAAGACTTGCTGAAGAGACCAGATGTAGACGTGAGTGTTGTGTTTTGGGAGGACCTGTTCTGGGGACCTGTAATACTACAGGAAGTGAAGCTGTCAGCCAGTAGTGTATCTGTATAGAAGTACTACAGCTGTTTCCAGTGCCTCTTCTCCCAATTATTGTCCTGTGAAGTGTCTTGGGAGTGCGTGAAAGTAGTGTTTTACACCCTTTTTCGACAGATTTTGTGTTCTATTGTCTGCTATTAATTAAAATACCTTCCAACCTCTGCCTGCCAGAGTTGGAGCGGGCAACCAAACACTCGCAATTAGTGAAGGGTCTTCAACTTCTTTTGTTTCCAGGGGTTTGGAAGGGGAAAAGGGTAGCTTTGGGGGGATTTTTTGGCTGTTGTGGTGGGATTTGTTTTGTTTTTAACTCACAAGGTATATCAACTAATCTGTTCTGTCAGATTTCTTTTACCAACTTGTCTAGTCACCTAGTACTGACAAGTCAAAAAGAAAATGCTTAAGAATTACAGGTTCAGGGAAAATCACAATCAGATGTTTTCTCACTAGAGCAGCAGTAATTCTTGCAGATAAGAGACTAAACTCCCTTCAGTTCTGAGGATTGATTTGTAGCTCAAGATTATGCAAAACTCAGGCTGACTCCTGTTGTTGCCATAAATTAGAAAATTAAAGTGACTACTGTTGACCAGAGGACTAGTATCATCCTGAGACTTGTTCTCAAAATCTTGCCTTTACAGTAGCCCAAAGACAAAGTTTCTAATCCAACTATTGTTAAGGTCTTAATGTTTGAAATAAATCAATTTCTTTGTCCGTTCCTTCAATGTAGCTAATGCTATAGAAATAGAGAAGATGTAGGAGATCATGTATATGTGCTAGAAAGGCAGCTGTCTAAAAATTGTTTGATACTTTCATATGTATGCAGTTGCCCTTTAAGTTTTCTAATACACTTGCATGTATACTTCCAAAGTGTCTCATAGGTGTGTGTATCTTGCAACTTACCTCAAGATATTGATATGCTTCCAGGTGAATGGCCAATGTGCTGGACACACAGCTATGCAAGCTGCTAGTCAAAATGGCCATGTTGACATTTTGAAGTTGCTTCTGAAACAGAATGTGGATGTAGAAGCAGAGGTAACCTAAATTTTTCAAAATACAGTTTGTGTGGTGTTAAGTTTTAAACTTTGCTACATACAGAAATAACAATTCTATTGCAGTTCCCTTAAGTCAGAGTGAGTGAAAAACTACTTTTCGTACTGTGGTTATGTTCTCAAATGAGCCTTCTGTTAACAGTATTACACAGGGTCAATATTTAATTCTTTAGCACCTCTAAGTGAAATATATATAATGCTAATATAAAAGAGCTATGTAAGCTAGTATGTGACTGTAGTAGGTGAGCACCCTTCTTGCCTTTTTTTCAACAGTGAAATGCAATAGGCTAGCACACTGCCTGTGCATTCAGAGAGAAAGATGTCAGATGCTGTATCTCCAACTTCAGTTACTTGCCATTCTTGGTTTGTACACTTTTCAATTAAGAGAAAGTTTTCCATTCTTAACTAAAGCAAGTTTGAGTAAAAAGTAACAACAGTATCTTTGGGTAGGAATTGCCAAGTCTGCTTCCATTTTTTCAGGTTGTGTTCTGTTTTGGGTTGTTTTTTTTTAACTTTTCTGAAAATGAAAGGATTTTTTTTTGTTGAGGTGTTTTAGAGCTATTGTTTGTGAGACAATCAGTATACTGTGCTATTTGCATTTTTGATTTTGTCTTCACTTACACAGAATGCACTGATATTGCAGCCTGTGCTTGTTCTGTGAAGCACAAGAAAGATCTGTCAAATTTCTTGTATTAAGAATGTAAGTTAAAGCCTAACAGGATGCTTAGAAGTTAACAGTGAACCCAGTCATTGTTTGCAGAATAGAAAAATAACTGCATACTTGGGCATTTAGTGTTCTATTGTATTTGATATACTTAAGTTATAGTATGTTTAAACATTAATGAAACAATTCAGTTTCAAATTCTTGGAAATAAAATTATTTTCATATTGACAGATGTGCCATTACTTTGTAAAGGTTTTCTGCAAAATTGCATCAAACATAAGCCATCTTTACAGTGTGTGTTTGCTGTGGTCTTATATCTGTAATGTAGCTTTGTTTTAGAAGTAATGATTTTGCTGCAGTACATAGCATATACTGTTATAAACAAGACTAAGATGCTTTTTGTCTGTACTATGGGATCAAAGATGCCATGTTAATAAAGTGGTGGACTGATGCTTTCTCCTCTGGCATAAAGAAGGGTTAGAAGCATTAAGAGAAGGAACTAGAAGCGCTGCTTAAATAGCTTCAATATAAAACATCTAATAATCTGCTAGCAGTAGAATTGTTAACGATTTTTCATGTTTGTTGATGTATGCTCAGGCTTCAGAAGTATAACATTAGTATTAAAAAAATTTCAGGGATCTTATTTGAGTTTTCAAGCCTTTTCGTGTAACTTCGAGTTAAGAGAAGGTGGTATTCCTACTTAATTATGTAACTGTGTTAATCGCTATCCTATTAATCATATATAATATTAGATTAATGATTATGTGTTTCATACTTTAAAAAATGTCAGCTGTTTATAAATCAGTGATACTAAGACCCAGCAGAGTCATTCCATTAGCAGAGAGCAAAACTTTAGTTTACTTCACTGTTGTGGTCTGTGGTGTGGAAGCAGTGGATAAAAATCCTTACTTTTCCTGCTTTATAGCTAAGTTCCATATATTTACACTTACAGTCCGTGCTGCAGAGTATATACATTCATGATGCCATTTCCTGGGGATGCCTGTATATTCTTCTCTGTGCTTATGTGTCTGACAGTTTAATGTAGTGTACAAGTGGCCTCTGTTTAGTCAGGAAAGAGTGTTACTGACAGAGCTCAAAAAGCCTGGTGTGGATACTGCATAGTAAAAATGTCAAGCCTTCTAGTTTGCAGACGTTAATGGGTATCAGTTATTATGTTGACATTACTGCCAATATTATTTTATTGGCATGTATAGAAATACAGTGCTTTTAATATTTAGATTTATATCTAAATGTAAGTCTTAAGACACATAATTAGTCTTCTTGTTTAAATGCAAAGGAGATGTGGAATATACTGAGTAAAATTAATGTTTCTGCTTTAGGACAAAGATGGAGACAGGGCTGTCCATCATGCAGCCTTTGGTGATGAGGGTGCTGTGATAGAGGTTTTGCACCGAGGCAGTGCAGATTTGAATGCTCGCAACAAACGCAGGCAGACCCCGCTTCATATTGCAGTCAACAAAGGTCATCTGCAAGTTGTGAAGACTTTACTGGACTTTGGCTGCCATCCTAGTCTCCAGGTAAAGCAAATATTAATGTAGATTAACTTTTTAGCTGTAGAATTTTATGATTTGCTGTGCGTAGGTGACAGGGAGAATTCTGGAAAATGGGATTGAAAGGAATGGACCTTGCGAAGTTAATCTGTCCAAAACTCCATCCCAACATGTGATCAGCTGTAATAAAAATGCTGTTAAATCTGTTTTTTTTTTTTTTTCTTGACAGCTACATAGGCACCTGATATATTCTAGCTGGTTGATGGTAATTGGTATTTTTAGACTGTAGTTAGCTATAACTGTTAACTTTCTCTCCAGATTAATTCTTCCTCTATTGAATTCACATCTATTTGCTCCTTCTGCAAGCTACAGCTTTAAATTTTTTGGCTGTTCATACTTGATATGAATAAAAGAAATCTTTTTTCTTTTTTTTTCTCCCACAATTGACCTATCATTAATATTAACTATTTAGCTAGATTCTCTTTTACATGTTCAGCCTTTTATCTAAAAAGCCCTCATGCATAGGGCCTCAAGCACAGTAATTCACAGGGAATTTCATCTGTAATGAATGTGGCAGAAGCTGTAATATCTGAGTGCAATGTCCTATTGAGAAGGTGGAGTAGAAGCCTGCCATCACATAAGCAGGCATCCACATTCTGCATGAGCAGAGTGCAGCCACATGCAGTGCATTACTAAAATCAGAATGATTAAGTTTGAAGAGGTTTGCAACAGAAGGAAAAATCTGTATCATCTGGGTAAATCAAGATACACAGTAATAACATATTTACCTCCTTGCTTTGCCATGTCAATAATCAGTGATTTTTATTTATTTTTTTTAAGCTGTATATCCAAATAAAAAACATGAGCAAATTTGCTTGACATTAGTAAATATAGCAGTTGGATTTTTTATCTGCTTCCACCTGGCTTTCTAGGTACTGTCTTGGTCTTGCTGAGATTGAGTTGTTAGTCAGCTAGTGTCCATTCAAACCCTATTTAGTATTTGTTGGACAGTAGATACAACGAGTCTCATGTGTTGGGCCCAATGAAGGGTGACTATGTATCATGTGATGATGTACGAGTAGCCAAAGTGGATGTGCCTGACTTGAAATTACAGAAGTCATTTTTAATTGAAAAATTCAGTAGACTGTTACTGTGGAATTCCATCTGGAAAATACAATTGTCATTGAAAATTAAGTTCCAGATCCAGTGTGTGTACTGAGGAACTTTGATGTGCAGATGTGAGTAGGTGATTGATTTGGTGGATGAGAGTACAAGGGAGTTGGACTGAGGCATGACTGGAATTTTGCTGGCCAGCAGTCTACTACTCAAGCCAATTCACTGTGTAAACAGGAACACACGTTAGCCTGTAAACAGTAAATTCAGGAAATAGGATCAGTTAAACCAAATAAAAGTTATGTAATTTAGTTTTGGCAAACTGGTTCACACAGGTTTGAGTGCTTCCATATTCTGGCAGTTTTTCATTCTCCCTGTAAAAGCTGTTTTCATATTAGCATATTGCTAAAATGTTCAGTTTCTGTGCTATTCAGTTTGCAGTTGAGTCAGTGTCGGTGACAAAAGACTTCCTGACTTATATGGTGTTAAAATTTTACTGGAAGCATAAATCTAGAGAGTTTGCCTATATAGCAGCAAATAAGCTTAAATGGATGTGTTTTCTCACTGTTAGTCTAGAGCATTCCTTTTCAGTCCAACCATTTGGGTCCTTGAATAAGTAATGTACAAAATCCTTTTAGGAGTAAGAAGCATTTTTCCTTTATTTGAAAAATAAAATGTCAAGCTAAAAATACAAATTCATTGCCTATTCAATTATGCACTGAAATATTTTCATGTACCTTGTGTAATATGGTATTAGCCATAACAAGTAAGATTGCTTATGACACTAGCCTTTGCTTCATAGAAAATTATTTGCTTCAGATAAAACAACAGATGTGCCTCAGTTTATTACTTGGACTTTATTTTGATTTGCTTATGCTTTTATTTCGCACTGTATTTTTTGGTGTTGTCTCTTATACAGTTAATTGCTGGCTCGGTGTTCATTACTCAAAATTCCCAGCCTCTTTCTACCAGACTAGTTTCTTCTCTGGTGTGTTAGCTTTTGTTGCTGTGCTGTAACTCATAAATGGTACCGTGGGCATCAACTCCATCTAGATATGAAGCACAAAGAAGTTGATGTTTGCACCAGTGTCTTCAGTACTATAAGATGCAAGGCATACTTGAGCTCTGAGTGAGTTCTGGTAGTAGTATAATCATAGAATGCTGGAACCGTGAGTAGGATTACACACTGAAACACTAGCAAAATTAGACTAAGTTTGCTCTGAACCCTGCAATAGCTACACTTTTAGGTCTGAAGAGCTGTTTTGTGTTTGTGTAGACAGTTTTCCTAGTGATATTTAAGTATCTTTTTTCTTCAGTGTGGATGCATGCAAAAACTGATGTAAACTGTTTCTGGTTTTAGGATTCTGAAGGCGACACTCCACTTCATGACGCTATAAGTAAGAAGCGTGATGACATCCTTGCGGTATTGTTGGAAGCTGGAGCAGATGTTACTATCACCAACAACAATGGGTTTAATGCTCTTCACCACGCTGCACTAAGAGGAAACCCTAGGTAAAGATATGTTTTTAAAGATCATTTTATCATTTGTAAGGGAAAACAAGTGCATGGGAGGGTAGAATTGGGGTATTCTTTCAAAAGATCCTTAAACTTGCATGTAATTATATTTGTTAAATTTTGAAGCTGTTTAGATATGTATTTTTTCTGATACTTGGGAAGCCATTATTAGAATTGACTAGTTCAGTTTAATTCTGTATTTAGGTAACTCCAAATTGGGAATTTCTTGTGGTAGCTGTAAATGTTAACATTCTGATAAGTAGGTTATTAAGTAAGATCTGAAGATGAGATCTTAACACAGGATTTGTAAAAAATGTTTCCCTTCTTGAATGCTAGAATTGGAAAAGGGGTTTGAGTTTTTAAGGAATACTTACTTTGAATAATTATTCAAGATAACATGTAGTTATAAAGTGATCTTAGGATTGTTAAGTTATATTTTTTAGTATAAGAAACATTTAATTTTGTTTTCTTAGAAGTGTGAATAGAAGGCATTTCTTATTTCAGCTTTTATACAGCAGCTCATATGAAAAAAGTTAGTTTTAAGGCATAATTCGGTTTATGCTAGCTGCACACTAATATACCTGCATTGAATCTGCAGTTAGGATAGCTTTTTAAGCTATGTGGCATGGATAGAACTTAATGGAAAATTTAATGTATTGCTAGTTGCTTATTGTGGATAAATGGTGTTCTTCAGAGCTGTCATTCTATCGAGAGTTCAATAATAGTTTATCATATGGTGGTGGAGAATTCAGTATAGCTTACACAAAATAAGAAATGTATGTGTTTACTTGCATAACTTTACAAAATTCTACTTTTCAGTTGAGTGAAGTTGGGCACAGAAGGCTATACACTAATACATGGGAATAAAATCTGGGCTAGTCTGTTAGAATATAGCTGTCAAGACTGATAGTTAAACAGTAAACTTAAGTATATATGGATATGGAATGGAATCATACTTCACAAAGTCAAAGTAGTAGTTGAAAGTGTTGATAGAAGCAATAAATGTGTTTACCGTTTTCTACAGTGTTCATAAAAGGTCTGTAGGAGAACATGTCAAGGACCTAGTGAAGGGAACTTATTTTTGGCATTCAGAATACGATTCTTTCAAGTGTGACTTTATAACTTCATATGAACTCTCCGTATTTGTATATCAGCATTACCCATGAGTACCATTTTCCTATGCATTTCTGTGGGCTGGTGTTTTAGGAGCGGCAGACTTTTTTTTTGGAGAGATCCAAATTGTCATTCAGACTGGATCAGTTTGACTGTACAATTTTGTAAACCAGTCAACTGGTTGGTAGAACGTGAAGCATAGTGGAGTTTTTCCCAGAATCCTCTCTCCTTTACAAAAGTTTTTATTGGAAGCAAAGGAAAATATTTCCAATATTGGTAATTGGAACCCTGTGTAGGTTCCCTCCGTATATGGGGTTTCACTTTTCTCTAAAGCAGTTAGATATCTAAAGTTTAGATATATACTTTTTTGGATGCAGTTATATCAGAGCACTTCTGAAGCATGTAAAAAGAGAGAATGTTGTCTCCATTACAGAAGTAGTAGTAGTTTCATTTGTTTACAACATCAGATATTTTTCACACTTGCCTGGGAGGAAAGTAATGAAAATGAAACCAAAAGAAATCTATTTTGAAAAACTTTTATTCCCTCCCCACCCAGATCATTACTATAATTTATTTCATTGTTAATTCTGTAGTTCTACTACTGCCATATTTCTGAATGAAACCAAAGGTACAATGTTTGCCACTTTGCTTTTTCTAATCTTGTATAGAACAATGGATATTACTTAATCTGTTAAATGCACTAAGCACAAGCTATTTAAAACACTGTTAAAAATAACCCCGAACTTTAGCTTGTAGCTGGTATGGGTCACGAGCAGTACATAATATGTTCTGCTTGAAACCTTACTTAATCCTAATCTAAGACTTCCTCTTCCACCTAAGCTGGAGTTTTTGTGGCTTCAGGTTGTGATGCCTTGTGTGGAATACAGTGCACTGAATTCCCCTTAAGGTCAAATGTATAAATATATTATTTCATAGATGTTATTTTATAATGCATTTTATAAAAGTTAAAAACTTATGTTAACATATATAAGTGTATATGCATGTCTTTATAACTACTTAAAAAATTAAAATATTTACTATTCTGCAAGTATTGATGAAGTCCGCATCCATCTTCCTTGTTAATGATAATAAAATAAATGCATGTGTTAAATGTTTAGATACCGCAAAGTGCACTAGATTTCTATCGATTTTCAGTTAATACCAAATAGGTATTTGGAACTCACTTCATTTTTGGTGCAAAACCTGTTCTGCTGCTTGCTTGAGTTCTGACCTTTACTACAGTAGAAAGGTAGATCTCCAAGAAAAAAACTCTCACAAACTGTGCTGAGAAAAACATTTGAAAGTTTTTCATTTTTCATATTAAAATAAATATTCTATTTTAAACATGTGAATACTAGATAAATATTATAAGAAAGTTAGCAATTTATGTCAAATAGCTTAGATTTTTCTCTGCACTTAATCTTCCATGACATTTTAGCAGTGTTTTCCAGAAGTCAAGGTATAGTGTGTTTTGGAAAGCATCCTATAGTAGTGGAATATTTCTCCTTTTAATAATTTGCTTTTCTTCATGCCTTGTCGGTTGGCACAGAAACAGAACTTCTGTTTTTCATGTTAAGGTATGATGTTGAAATGTAGGATGGATGTTTTTCAGTTTATGCTATAGATAGGTTTAAACTTATGCATGGAAAGTAGAACAAAAAATAAATTTTGAATGAAGTGTGGGGAAGTTAAAATTTTATTTAATACGTGGCTTTTTGTTCATGATTTTTTGAGTCAGCCATACTAACAGTGCATTTATTTTGGACTTCTTTCAAAGTACTGTGAACCTCAAAGCTTGGCAGACTTTGCCTCTTCAGTATTAATGAGATTTTTCAGACAGAAAAAAATGAGAGTAAAATTTGAAAGTACTGTACAGATTGGTTATTTTTGCCATGGCATCAACACTTGGTTATGTTTGATCTCTTTGCATACCTGTGACTTCAGAGTTTTGAGCTGAAGACATGACTGTGAAGTGTAGGCGTATTTTATATCCGTTGCCCCAGTTAGTTTTAGATTTGCATTGTATCTCGTGAAGAGAGCTTTATTCACACTGCAGCTAGCATCTTAAATAGAGGCTGCTTTTAGAGCTGACCTGACTTCGCACATGTGTACGATTAATTCTTCAGAGCAGTAAGTTCTGCTGTACTTTAAATCAAAAAATTAAAATCTCAGGATAAGGTGCAGTTTTCATGTATTGCTGTCCAATACCAAGAAATGCGTCATCTTTACGTTCATAAACTAGGAAGTAGGAGATTGTGGTTTAAAATAGAATTGTAATTTTTCCTCATGGTTGTCTTATTTAGTAGATGTCTCCTTGCTTTTGAATTAGCAGATGGTTTGAAGTGGTTGGCAGTGGAATTTTTAACTAAGGATTTGAGAGGTGGGGTTTCTCACCTCTAAGTGTTAATGAGTGTCTCAGGGGTTTATGTGCTGTGTTGTCATGGAGGTCCACAAAGAGACAAGTTGTGAGGTAATTGAAGAGTTTTACAATTTTGTAAACCAGTAAAAGTGATTTTTGCTTTCGTATTTGCAGTTCTGACAGTAAGTGTAGGTTGAAGTTTAGTTCAAGCTAAGTGCAAAAAAAGCATGTTCCTAAAACCTCTTATTAAAGTATTAAGTCAGAAAATGCTTTAAAAGAATACTTTTGTTCAGATTGGTTTAGAGAAAGACTATAATCTCCATGAGCAGACCTATAACTAGATCTCAGATTAACCTGTAGCTGTTGAGGTCAGTGACACATATATTATCTTTAAATGGTAAATTATATGCCCACCGTGTACAAGGTGGCAAATACAGTTCCTTCCCTGTGGAGTTTCCTCCCTTGTACAATTAAAAGAGGGAGGAAGGAGGTGGGGAAGAGGGATAGACCTGCCTTACATTATCAGTACTGTTCTTTTGATCAGTGGTTTTTGTTAGGTTTGCTACAAAAGGCAACAGATGTGAGGAAAAATGCAAGAGACAATAACTCATTGGAAAATGTGTTTATTTCACTGTTGACCTATCTTCTTTATGGATGTTGTAAGAATCAGTTTTCACTGAATATGGACAGAATATTAAACCACCAGTAGCTGTTTATATACAAACACAACCTTGAAATTTTGGAATACAGAATGTGCTGCACTCCCTGTTACCTCCCATCTTCAAGCTGCCTAGAATAACTGAACTCGGCTGCAGAGAGGACTGCATAATCACTGAGCAGACTTAAGTGTCTGTTTTTAAAATACGAGAAATCTTGTAGTGATCAATGCATAGCTACAGCTGGTTGAAGGGGACCAAATCCATTGAAGAGGTGATTTGGTTCCATTTTACCAGCTTTAGCAAAGCATTGGAGTGCAGGAAGGTTATAATGCAGTAACATATTTTTAAGTACATGAACAATTCACAATGAATGTGTGGCTTGCTTCTGTGTTACACACCTTGTTTCTAGTCAACACAAATTCTGTCACTAATTTGGAGGCAACAGAATGAAAAGCTGTATACTAGAATGGCCTGTACAGTATCCAGGTTTGTTCCTTCCTCAATTATTTCCTTGAGGATCTGTGGATGAATCTCAAATCAAATTATAGTTATAACTGGTTTTTTTTGTCTGCAAAAATGAAATTCTAGAGTAGCAACCAGACACAGTAGTATTAGAATTTCTACTCACATAGAGCTCCTTTCCCTCTTTATGTTAAACTTTACTGGGGAAGAAGGTTTTGGATCCCCCCCAGTCCTCCCTCCCCATTCATTTGCTGCCAGGTTCCCTTTTGCAGCTGCTTTCATGTTGTAGTTGGTTAGCACAAGTATACTAGTATAAATGTATACTAGTATAACTAAGTATAAATGTTAAGTGTTTTCAATTCTGTATCTCTGCTTAGTATTAACACTGTAGGAATGATTGTATAAAATAGCAGGATAGATTTTTTTTTAACCCTGATTTTATATGTAAACGTGTTTAATGCCAGAAAAATAAGTCTTTTAATGAATTATCTGGGGTTGCATCTGATTTCTTCTAAGTTAAGGTCCTTAATACATTTGTGCATGCTCACATAGCTTTTTTTGTTGTATGCTGAATTCTTTTTGAGCTTTAACTGCAGTGGGAAGTAGGGGGCAACCTTAGTTCAAGCCATTCACTAGTATGTCAAGTATAGTCTGCATCTGTTTGTTGCATAGTCTGATGCTGGTGAAATTTATGTAAATATATTCCCAACGCCATGTATCCTAATAGAAACATAGCAGGTGTGTCACTTGGACTTAAGCATTAAGATGGCTTTAAAATTGGTTTCTATTTTTACCAGTTATACAGGAACTGTTTTACAGATACAGCTGCTCAAGTGCGCTTTTGGATGGCAATACAGTTTCATGTACTGGCCATATCGGGACAAAAAACAGCCATGGAAAAAAAAGCCGTGTAGCATTTGATAATGTCAGCATCTGTTATCCCTGTCAGTCACACAGTTGAAATGTTTGAGTTACAACTGTGTCAGCAGATGCCCAAAGTTCAACGTGTGCTCGGTTAAAATTGAACAGCTGATCTAAGTGATGGATGTGACATTTTAGAGTGACTGGATATGTATTCTTAGAGATATGCTAACGTGAACTAGCAGGAAGCAATGTCAACATATAATTTTAACTTTTGTATCACACTGAACTGTCATTTTGTTTCGGAATAGCATTGCAATCTTATACAAAGAAGACAAGAAAGAACACAACATAATGAATTGTTACCAAAACCCTTTCAAAATAATTTTAAACTGTTAAAAGTTGGTCTTATTATATAGGGGAAGCCAGATCAGTTAGTCATGAGGACAGCAGCCCTTCAGGAAAAGGAATAAGCATGTAGCAATCAACCCCTCTGTAAAGCTGTTGCTAATGCAAAATTGCTTCTGTGAGCGTGATCAAGCTCAGTAGCATTGTTCCATTTAGAAAAGCTACTACCTACAATTTGATTTGTTTTCCACTGTCAACCAGGTTTTAATTTACATGTTAAGACACTGTACTCCTCATGCCAAAATATCTGCTCATAAGAGAAATAGCCTTAAAACAAATACTATTTTACTTAAAATGGTTCTGATAAGATAATGTTTATTCTTGTATATATGTTATTCTGTAGTTTCAGGTAATAAAAATAGCAGGCTATGTATAGTATCAGTTTTCTGAGAGTATTTAAAAATAAGACTCTGCATCTGAAAGTCATGCCTTGCCTTTTCTTATTTTTCCTGTTGTGTGTTTTTTTTTTTCCTCTCACATATTTTAGTAAGCACAGGGGTACAGTTAGAATCTTTTAATCTGGGCCAAATGTGCCCACTTATCCTGGACATATCCTATTTAATAACTGCTTTTAGAAGGCTGCTGTCATGAATAGGAATAGTTGGATTGACGAGCCAGGGGGTCTTTCCTCTTACTTTTCCTTGTTCCTGAATTTGATATTGAGTGTCTTTATTTAGGGATGATACATGCTGGTATATTTTAATTACTACCACTTCTAGAACTTGAAACTGTTGCAGGACTATTTCTCATTTAGTTCTTACAATATTCTGGATGCTACAAAGTCATATTTTCATGGCCAAGTTTCTTAAATTTGGATTGAAAATAAATTTAGCTTATTTGGAAATAGTTTTTAACGTAACTTACCTTTTAGGTAGTAGTTGTCATTTGTGTTTTCATTTAGGAATCTGTCAATAGCTTTAATCTGCTGACTAGCAACTGGGGCCTAGAAATCTCTGTATTGTCACTTTCTGTGCATAAACCTGACGCTGCACTTTGTAGTGAAGAGCTCAGTGAGCATAGTAAGTGCTGATTTGGAGAAAATTCTAAGTTAAGTCTCATATTAAATTGCAGAAGTTACCCTACTCAATTATTTTGGCTATCCTTTTCTTTAAATCACAGTCTTATTTTCTTAGCTGTTTCTACTTGCGTTAGTTGCCACCTGTAAATTAAATATTCTATAGTATATGTAAATTTAACTACTACCATCTTAAGTATGTAAAACTGGCTATGATTAATAGAACAATGGCTTGTGTTTTAATGAGATATATTTTGATAATCAGGCTTTTAAGATTAGTTTAGGATCTATTAAATGAGGGGTACTAGTAATAATAAATTTTGCAGCTATGCTGCAGTCTTAATCAGTGCATTTCAAGGGTTCATTTCCAGCCTTGTTTTTGAATTCTTTATTTACAAGTAATGTTCTGCTTATCAGCTGTTAACAATTCTTCCTACCCACTTTTATAGTCACTTAATTTGATGTTTTGTGATTTGTTACTAACAAGTATGAGTTATTTTGGCAATAGCAGCTGACCCTTAGCAAGCTAATTTGTCACATGAATGTCATTCAAACAAGAGGGAAACCTGTTTCTTCCAACAGCTGTTTAGTTTCCTCTTACTGGTCGTTCCGTGCCTGCCAAAAATACATACTTCTTTACATTCCATAGCATTGTATGTTCATATGGGTACATAAAGAAGTATGTACTCTGAGCAGGTACACACAGAGTTGCTCGACTACCTGTCAGATGAACCTGAGAAGTATTTTGCTGCTTTCTGTTGGCTGTCATTAGGTAAAACCCAGCCTGGCAATTCTTTGGTAGAACAATATTATGACTAGCTTTTGTTAGAAAATAAACTTAGTATTCTGACTGAACTTTACAATGCAATTTACCTGCACAGTGGCTTAAAGCCAGTTTGAGTTCATTGTTCAGGGATGGCATGGACATGAGAAGTGCTTTTCCAGATTTTTGCAGCCTCTTGCTGTTCATTCTGAGTGACCAAGTCTGAGTGGAGAGTTGAATTGCTGGTAGCTCTGCAACATGTTTTCTTGGGATTCATAGTTGTATTCCACTGTGAAAACTTGAGCTTCCTCCCAGGTCTTCTAGCAGATTTCCATGCTGGGGTATGGTTTGCTTCTAGTGTCCTGAAGGGAAGTACAGACTTGTCTAATCTGTCAGTTATAAACTTTATTTTCCTACCCTCTCCAGTCCCATTTCCAAGCTTTTTGCATCCTATCCAGTATTCTGCAAACTCTTCTCAGGTTTATACTTATTTCTGCTGTAGCTCAGAGTGATTTAAAATAGAAAACAGCACATGCCACCAGTGATCCTGCTTATCATAAAGATGATGACATTGAATTAAGAAAACAACCTCTAACTGCTGTGACAGGATTTTGGTTTTTAGGCTGAAGGTTACATAGAAAGCTAATAATTATTCAATACTTCTGCAAACAGCTTTTCTCGCTTTTTAAAATTGGCACTCACCTGCTTCAGTCAAAATTTTGTCCACACTTGAAATAGTTACGATAACTAAAAAAAAAAACAAACACAAAAACCCACCACAAACCCTCAAAGAAACAAACCCCTAGCTTAACCCTGTTTCATAAGATTCTGTGTGTCTTAGTTTGGAATGGTAGTTAAATTATTTGATGTGCAGTATGGGTTTGACTTCTAAGGGCTCTTAGATGCAGCTTGTGGTTCCTTAATTTGTATTTCAGAAGTTGATTTGGGTTACAGTAAAAAGTAAGCTTTGTGTTTACAGCGTTAGAAGGTAAATTTGAAATAAGCTTAACAATTAGTATATGTAATTGTCGTAAGGCAAGCTGAGAGCAGAGGAAGTAAGAATTTCTGCAGCTCATGACAAAACCCTAGTGCAGCTGATAAAGAGCAAATCAGAGTGTAGCAGTAGCTAGCACAGTACTACAAGGAGAAACAGCAATGCAGCATTAGAATCACAGCAGTCACATTCTAGTTTTTAAGTAGGCTGTTTTCATGTACATCTGAGATAAAGCACCTTGAAAATTTTGCTTAGACCTACTTGAGAACTCAGCACTGCAGTACCACATTGTGTATTAGATTTTCTAAGTTGGTCATTTTTTTTATTTTTTTTTTTTAGTTTTGCTTAGGAAGATAAGACTGAATTTCCCTGAAATGAGCAACCACTTCATGGCAATGCAATTTTTGAGTTTATCTTCCTTTAAAAGAATTCTGCCTACCAAGCAAGTTGGGTTTTTTGCTATGAAATTTGGACTAATGTTGTTTTCTTTCAACCTGCTCTTTACACTACAAATGCTTGATACTTTAACACACTCAAAATTAAGCTGTTCCCAGAGTAGAGGGATTAATATAACAATAAAAAATACATTCTAGTAAATAAGATATACATGCAGAAAGTCATAGGCATCCCTTAAACGTGCAGAATAATGCAGGTCTCCTGATGTTCTATTACCTGTAAGCTTAGTATCATGCAGCATTTGCAGTTGGAAGAGAGGTAATGACCTAGAGACACATCAGCAGCAGCCATCTCATCCTGAGTGCTCTCTCATTCTATTCGCTGAATCAGCTCTTCATTACATGGGAGGGGGAAGCAAGGGGGGGGTGAATGTCGGTGCATACAATACCTCACCACCTTGAATAGATAAAACTTAAAAGAAAAAAAAAACCAACAACAGAGGCATGAAGGTGGGTGCCTAATTGGCACCTGCTGCCTTTCTTGGAATGCTGAAATATGGATGGTGTTGTATAGAAATTATACCTTATGTCTGCTGGACTGAGAGTTAAGACTCCAAAGGAAGGTGAACTTAGCCCACTGCCAGATGAAAATAATCACAGGCAAAAAGAAAAATGAAAACCCAACAAAAAAAAAAAACAAAACAACAAAACCAAGCCCCCAAAAGTTGGAGTTGCTTCCAAAAAAAAAAAAGGCACACGGAAAAAAAGCGATCGTCTCCCCCCTCCCCCGGCAAATATTGGTTTCTTCTAGTTCCTTAGATATTGCACTGCATCGTTTCTTGCTTGAGGTTATGTTTCCAGGCTTAACTGTAGGCAGGTCTGTGTTGAAGCTACTTTCCATCTTCAGAGGTCAAGTCTGCTAGCGAGGTCAGGGCTCCTGCATGCACACTACAGAAGGCACTAACCGTATTTCCCACTTAGAGGGCACGAGCAAAACTGTTACGGCTTTATAGGCAGCTAAGCATTTGAAACATGCACTCCCAGGCAAACAGGCTCTCTTGTGCCTCTCTCTTCCCTGACCATATTTAGTCAACCATTGCAAAAAATAGTCTCTCAGCTGTCGATTGTCGATCCAGCAGCAAAGGGAGCCTCTATCCAGCTCTCTGCCTATTGATTGTGCAGCCTGCACTTCCACCGCCGCTTAGCCATTTGTCCCCAGGTTTTTTTAGCACTGCCAAATAAAGCGCTCTCTCGTGTTTCCAGTTAGATTTCCCAGGTTTTCACTGAGCTTGCGCTGCTACTAGTAAACCCTGGTGAGGTTGTCACTATACTTAGAAATGTTGAGGGGGGAGAGGAGAGAGAGAGAGAAAGAGAGAGGAGGAGAAAAAAAAAAAGGAAGGCAGCCCTGCTAGTAGCAAGGCGAGGACTTCATGCAGATAGAGAACAATAAATATCCTGCTCTGCCACGGCAGGTTGTGTAACCTGGTTTCTTGATCAGTGAAGAATGCCATGAGAAACAACATACTGATCAGCCTGAGGTCTAAGTGACCTTGTTCTACATCTAGTTTTAAGTTTTCAACTTAAAAATACTCTTATTTTATAAATAAGAAGTCAGTGCTGATTTGTCATTTTATAAAGAAGAAATTGGTGCTGATCTGTGGCCCCACATTTACATATTCAAATTAAGTTAGAAATCATTTGGAAAACCTTTAATTAGTAAATCCATGTATTTGCATAATATTATGTTTAATACTTGCAGTGTTTTGTTTATAATGCTTAGCCATGAAGTTACTTGTTAAAAATGGAATACACCTGTTAAATAGGTGCTACTGTTCCTTGAAAGAAGTCAGATGTTTTAGAAGAAAAGAGTAAAAATCAAATCAACAGCTCGGTCCATTCATCTTTCATGTGTACAGAATTGGCCTATAACACATTTGAAATATGAAAAGAAGGATGTTCATATTCAGTGTTTCCTTCAGAAAAGAATACTGAAATTGAGCCACAGAAATACAATAGCCAGGAACCCAAATACTTCAAGACTTTCCTTGTATTTTTCCAGACAAAATTCTTTATATTGGTCAGGAGCAAGAGGAATGAAAAAGATTAAAGTATCTCAGTCTAATCATGTCATCCCAATAAATATTGATGTAGTTAGTAGTTACTAATACACTAAATATACTACTCTGCTTCAGTATTGTAGGGTAGAGAGGGTGTACCACTGTCTTGGATTTATACTTTCCTTCCTTCCTCTTTTTGTGTTGACTTTGTCTTGTGTGTAGTTGATTACCCCAACTTCTGTTGCAGTATAGCTTTCTGGTAGAAGTCATGATTTTTTTACTTTCTTCATAATCATGCATAGAAGGCAAAATTGTTGTGTAAGATCTAGGCTAATACAGAATATATTTCTGTGGATTCCATGTAAATGTATATGCCTCATTATTTCTTTAGCTTCATGTATATTGAAATTGACTTTTCAAATGCCAAGAGATACTTGAAAATCTGAGAGTCAAAAAGAAATAAATGGCCTGCCTACTTAAACTTGTTCTGAGCCATCCGTCACATATATTAAAGTCTAATTTCAAGATACAGTGTGCTCTGCAACGCTAGCCTACAGTATTAATCTGTTCTTTGTTACTTGTTCTTGAGGGATATACTTCCTTCTTCATTCTTAGAGTGTTAACTCCCTGTACTGCACAGCAAGTGTGGAGTGATCCAGATCAGGGAACTGATTTGGCTTGAAGTTGTGTGCTGACGTGCACTTCAGATCATATCGTTGCCAAAAATAGCACTGTCCTGCTCCTGTGTTACTTCTTGCACTATGTTGGTACAAATATTTCTCTGGCTTCACAGTGAGCAGGCTCAGAGTACTGTTCTCTGGGGCTGCTGTGAAAATAATCCAACACTAAGGGGTGACACTTTAGATGCTGTGTCGGGATCACTTTTCTTTTGGGGAAGAGGGGAGAGGATAGGAGAGGGATTGGTTGAGCATTGGTGATAGTAGTCTTGATTCTATGGTGCTGTAAAATACATGTCAGGCTATGTAGCCTTAACAGAAAACTTTGCAATGGAAGCTGTTGCTAAATCTAATCTGTTCCTTCAACTGCTTGAGGATGTAACAGGAAACAGGTGAACAGATTTAGCTGAGCCAGGGGTGGGAATAAGCATGTGGTGGTGGGGTTATTGCAGAATGGGGAATACTTCAAGCCAGGACTGCTGTTAAATATCTTATATTTAGAAACCATGTCCCACTGAGACAGTGGAAAGCTGACCTGAGGGAGGAGAAGGAGTAGGGAGTCAGGGAAGTAGAGAAACTTGTAGTAGGAAGTGTACTGAATCATTACAATCCCTGGAGATACGATTCCTGGTACGTTTGTGCTGATCTAAGACTTTGTGTCTGGAAAGGGCAGTCTGCCCTCCCTGCAACTCTAGCTCCGTCATTTCTTTATAACTATCACTTCTAGTGATCATAAAGTCTCAGGGTAAATTGGATTATCTCAGTGATCTGGCTGAAAGCAAACTTGCCAAATCAAGAATCTGGCAGGTTGCTTCACTCAGTAGACAATGATGTGTCTGTAGAGGCAACATAATGCAGGAACTGGAGTGCAGGGACAATGTAATGCAGGAATTGGAGTGCAGGGAAAAGTGGGATTGTGTCTTTTGGGAGCAATTGAAGTTAAATGTGCTCATGCCGATCATGAAGTAGATCCTCTATGTTATTTTTTTTTTTATGCTTAAGTAGCTGTTCTTAAAAACAAAAAAAACACCAAACACCACAAAACCAAGTAAACACCACCCCCCCACCTCCCCCCCCCCAAAATAACCAAACCAACCACACAAAAGTCCAAACAAAAATCAGCAAAACCCCAAAAACCAACCAAAAGTCCATAGAAACAAAACCACCCCACCATCATCCCACAAACCCTCAGCTTTCCATGTTTAAGTAACTCTGTAGTCAAATTGCAGTTAGTAGCAGAGAAGGATGGAGCAGGTAATGCTCAGTGTTGAATCTTTTTTATACAACGAGGTGCTAGTTTCATCTTACTTGCAAGTACTTTTATCTTTAAGATTTTTCTAGTAACTACATTATTGTATGTGGCATTCTCAGATAATGCTGATGAGAGTCTGTAAAAATCCTGTGAGTAAAATACAGCATGAGTAAAGAGACTGTATGTAGGTTGATAATGAATAATATACCATATTAAAACTTTTGGTCATAACATTTGGTATGTCTGATGTTAACTGGTGTTGAAACAACTGCTCTGTGTGGCTAAAAATGGATTAGTCATTGTTCAGATCTGTGATGCGTTTTATTTCATGTTGCAAACATAAAATTCATGCTATTGAATTCTCATTCTCCTATGATTTATATTTAAAATATATTATTTATATATGTTAAGGTGTGGTTCCAGACTCTCTGAAAATGTGTTTTTTTTATTATTTTTTAAAGAAAAATATTTATGTGGCAAGGTCAAATTAAAGGTGCATGCAGCAGCAGCAGCATTTGTTGTCATTCTACATCTCAAATTAAATGTAACATAGTATAAGTGGGTATTCCTTCTACCAAATCATTTATAACTACTAGAGCCTGGACTGTCATTTTATGGGAATGAATTATATAAGTTCTGGTGGACTTCATAAGTTAGTGGTACCACCAGCAGCTGGGTCTGGGAATGCAATGGATATCTTGATCTCAGCACCCTATACCCACAGGGCTTTCACTAAGCAAGTATTTAGCTCCTGTGAAAGAAGAACTAGCTTCCTCACCTGCTTCAAAACCTTACAGGCAATTTCCTCAGAAAATTGCACTGGAGTTTTTCTTGTTGTAACATCTAGAAAATGTCAGAACTTGCAAAAGATCATCCAACTCAAAAACCAGCTTCCTGCTAACTTGAAAATACTGCAGGCCAACAAACGCCAAAGCTTGCTGGTTACAATTTTTATTTTTTTTTCATTAGTAGTGCTTTAGTAATAACCTTTAAATTAGCATAATGGTGATGTTAATTTATCAATAATCTTTGCATCCTCTCAGCCATGTAATCTGTAACACTTGATACATGAGAGATGATAGTCTGAAGAGTGTTCTTCAGCTGATTGCATGGTCAGGGCTACCGTCAGACCTCCTGATTTCTTGATCTTTTTCAGTACAGTTTACAATGAAAGTCTGTGGTCTGGTTTAATGTATACAAGATGAAACCAAGTTTTCATGACCACATCTGTGTTGCGGTCCTGAAAATGGAGTGGTACAACATGGCGGCTTCTTTAATACGTTGTGTGGAAAAGTGAATTAGGAATTACCATGTAATTGGCATGCAACATTAATTCACTAATATCACTTCTTATGATACAGTGTATTCCTGTTCCAGTGAGCACTGTTCTGAATGGTAGCCACTTAGCTGTCAAAATTTTGGCAGCAGCTCTAGAAAATCCTTCAAAATAGAATAGCTACGAAGGAAGGCTGCAGTGTGAGGGATCAGGATTTTGTGCATTGAAAGAAACTACTTCTCAGCTGATGAGGAGGAAGATGCAGCACGGAGCATCATAGAAGTATTTGTTGTTTGTAGCATATTAATATCTTGCAGAATTTTAAGGTGTTATGTCTGTGGAACCATCCTTCATCCTGCTCTCCAGTAAATTAGTGCAGTGTGGAAGAGAGAGATATGTAGTCTCTACTTGGATAGGCAGAAGGAACTGAGGGGTAGCTACTGGCCGTCTGGTGCTTCACTGTGACAAGGTAAAAATCTATTACACATAGCAGCTGTTTGTTTCTTTTGTTTGTCCTTCCGTTGTTTTGTTTTTTTTCAATATGGCCAATGCGTTCTAAAAGCATCCAAAAATGTAGCAGGCATCTCATTTATGTGAAAGCAAGATGTACCCAAATATTTGACAGTTGAACTTCAGATGAAAACTTTCCTGGTATTTAACATCAAACTAAGTAAGCAAATATTTGAAAGAGGATCTAGTAAGGCTAGACCTCTTGCAAATATTAGGATTAGCGATTTTTTTTCATAGCATACAAAATACTAAGTCAATTGATTTCCTGCTCTTTCAAAGATGAGAGGTGTTGAAGAAATGGCAGCAATTATGTTTCTGAAGTATATTCGCTTCTCGATGCATCTGTTAAAGTGTGTGAATGTACTTTAAATTTTACTTTATTTATCTGTGATGTTGGCGGTTTCCTTATTTCCTTACTGAAGAAAAGAACATAAAATATCATCTGAGTTGGTTAGGACTGTTCCTTGTTTAGTGACTAGAACTACTTTGGAAACAAGCTGGCTATAATTAGAGATTTGAGTGTTGGTACCTTCCCATAGTGTTCCTCAAGTTATACTTGAAGTTGTAAAAAATATTTCTTGTGCCTGGCTTTTTTTTTGTAGGTTATTGTAGTTCCACATTTTACTGGATGCTCACAGTGGTCGTATTGCTTATGCCAGTCATGAATTTTCAGGTGATTTTTGTTGTGCTTTTTTAGATGATCAACGGGAGATATTGTAGAGCTTCATGGAGTCTTTAGAAGCACTGAGCTTGCAGGTGAAGAGCTTTCATTACATGATACCCTGTGGGAAGCCACTGTAGCAAGTAGACTGGTTTGTGCTGCTGGTAGTGTATGCTCCTCTTTATCAGCCAGTTTTCTGAAGAGCTGATGGTGGTTTGCCCAGGTACAGTCCAGATACGTTGTGAACCAGTGTTCCAGACTTGCTCCCTCTCTAAGACAGCTAGAATCAGGTCTGATGTAAACCTGATATGTACCTATATCCAGAGTTTGAGAATACATCATTTGATTACAAAATATTATATTTAACAGTGGAACTATTTATTTTGCTACATTTCATAAAGCTTTGGTAACTTTGGGTTTTACTAAATTATATCCTTAATTTTGGAAACGCCTGCATAAATGAATCTTTCAAAAAATTAATGTTGTGGTCATCCCCAGCTCCCCCCCACCAAGTATTTTAATCTTTTTTCCTAGCATGTGACAGAGCTGTAGAAGGTGTTATGAATAGAAGCTGAGCAATGTCACACAATGAGCAATGTACAATCTGTTAAGTGTTGTTTTATTTTGCTGTGTTACAAGTGATTTGGACTGTGAGAAGTCAGAGGCTTAGTCCTGCCAGGAAAACAAAATCCTGAGAGGCTGAGAATTGTTTCTTATTTGCTTACCTTGGGAAAACTGATTAGATGGAGTCTGAAGGACTGAGAGAAGCCACAGAGAGCAAAATGCATTCAGTTCCTGGCCAAGTGCTTATGTCCACTCTGTGAGAGATAAACCTTCAGAGCAGCCTGGCTGTGAATGCTCCATGTAACAGTTGGTCATGGGTCTCCTGTGGGTCTATGTGATCCTGTGGCCTGAAGATGCAGTTGCTTAGTTGTGGTTCCTTCAGACACTCTGAATCTGGGAAGAAAAGCAACAGTTATACCGCAGTTGTCAGGATGGTGTAATGAGTGTAAAACTGAGGGTTTACATTGCATTCTGAGTGCAGTAGCAGGAGAACAAAGAGGTCAGGGTCTGTTAGGATAGCATCCAAGCAGTGTGTGGGAAGGAGTGCATTTTCTTACTGATGCTTCATGGGCTGATCTCCCTCATGGACTCTAGCTTCTCTTTTTCAGGAAGGCTGACTGGAGTGAGTTATCCCCAAAACCACAAGTTTTTTTTTTGTTTTATAGGAAACTTGTTGGCTTACTCTAAAAGATCATTTAGAAGTGAATAGCACTTATGCAGTGTGGATGTTAAAGGTAACAAATTATTGGAATGAATTAGGAGCTCCGTTATTACTTGATAGTGCAGTCACCTTACTGCAATCTTTTGAGAATAGTTTTAAGAAAGAGCTGAGAGGCTTGTTTAAGGATGGCATTTCTGAGGCTTATTGAGATCCCATGTTTTCAATATCGGGTCGCTAATGAAGAACTGCTTAATTCAGTAATAGTATCTGCCTTGCAGTGGATTCTATGACTGAGTGGTTCCACTTGCATTAGCTAGGATTAGATGGATTTTTGAATTTTGTGAAGAAGCTCTGTTTCTCCTCTAAATAACATGTTGCTTCAACAATAGCGAAAGATAAATGGCAGAAGAGGCTTCCCGGCACAAGACTGTAGCAGTTTCTGGTTTTCTGTTTGTCTTTGAGGAACTGTCATAAGAGGACTGCATGTGCTGTTTATAAAGATAAGACAATAAGGGAATTAAGTTTGGTTACTTACCTATTCCAAAATACATATGTACTTAAGAAAAGTGTGTTTCTAAGAGAACACAAGATTGAGCCATTTGTTTATCTCATACTGTGTTGTTAATACCCTTAACACTGCAGTCTTTCGACTTCATGGATTTTAGTATGTTTTTATTCTCTAGTAAATAAGTTTATTTTTCCAACCTTGAATTTGAGGTTTAAGATAATAGATCCCCTTCCTTTGGTATTCATCTTGGTAAGTATGTACAGAAGTGTGTTGAAGCACTAAACACTGCCATGGTATATTACAGTTAGCCACTATCTGTTATGAAAATATTCCACTAATACTTGCTTTACAGATTCAGCATTTATTTTGTTTGTGTCTAAGAGGTCTTAGTCCACTTTTATCTCAGAAATTGAAAATCTTAACTGTTAAAGCCTATGGCAGCAGTTTATAAAGTGATGATTTTAAAGAAATCTAATGTAGTGGAACTTGTCCATTAAATAGAGGATGCTATGAGGATTTTGAGGGAGAGCAATTCTATCATCTATGTTGCAGAATTTTTGTGAATTTTTTTTTAAGGTAATCTTTACTGTTAGACAGCATTCTTCTGGGGGAAAAAAAATCTGATTCATACACTCTGTGTGTTGTATGGTTTGTTTGTATGCTGTAAGTAGAAGGAACTGAACATGAAATTACTATGCTTTGGAACTGTCAGTATAGCTTTTCACCCATGTTCCCTTTTTGAAAAAATACTAACGTTTTAGCTACTACTACTTTGTAGTTCTGAGAATTAATATGGATTTATTGTTGTCTTGTTCTCATTCAGCAAATAAATTATGGATGCGTTAGTCCATCTCTGCATGTTTTATTTCAGTGCAATGCGTGTATTGTTGTCCAAGTTACCACGACCATGGATTGTTGATGAGAAAAAAGATGATGGTTACACTGCATTGCATCTGGCAGCTCTCAATAATCATGTAGAAGTGGCTGAACTTTTGGTGCATCAGGTAGGACTCTTTTTCTCAGGATCACACTTCAGTTAACTATCTGATGTGAAAATAGTTTGCTGCAGTCGCAGTGCAGAAGCAATGGGGCAGGGAAGGACACATGGTCAGCTCTAAAGGTCAAGCTTGCCTTTGAGACCATTACAGTGGCCTAATGGTGCAGAGGACCTGAACAATTTGATACCAGATCAATAGTTTGATTCAACAGATCAACATCTGTACATTGCATAATTAAAAGCATTTAATCACTTCTGCTCTCAAAATCTCCAGATTAGGAATCATATTCAGGGTTGTATTCAGTGCTCTAATGGACTGCCTTGCCTGTAGATGAATTGCTGGGATGATAATGCTCTAATGCTTTGAATATCTTTCAGGGCAATGCTAACCTGGATATCCAGAATGTTAACCAGCAAACTGCTCTGCACCTTGCTGTTGAACGACAGCATACGCAAATTGTTAGGGTAAGTATCTTACTTGCAATAAGCCATATGTTAATGGTACTTGACTTGAACTCATAGTAGCTGTTAAGACATGGGTAGCTCATGAACATTTAAAAAATGATTTAACAACATGTAGCCATTGAATGCTTGTATGATTAATTTTCATCAGTTCAGAAACCTGCCAGCTTGCACAGAAGGTCAGCCAGCAATGTGAAGGACGTTTCAGGAATTCTGAATTTTTGTACGTGTTCATTATGGTTTCCTTTACACGGTTGCCAATTCCAGCATCCCCCTTTGTTGAGTAAGGGAGAATCCTCTGTTACTTATCTGAGTCTTGTGGTCCTGTAATGAGACCTTCAGATAGCATTTTTGATGCCTCTTGCTGTCTGAGTAATTATTCTTACTTACAGCTTTTTCAAATTGCAGGTAAGTGAAACATCTTTTCACAAGTTTAACTACTTTTCAGTCTTCTGAGAGTGTAACTCCCTGTTCTTAGCTTGGTAGAGCAATAAGCAGTAACAGAAGTACCTTACAAGTGAAAGTAATGCTATTTATTTTTTCGCTTGCGCAGTTGCAAAAGTTAATACTCCCAGCTCAGCAAAACTGTGTTACTGGCACAGGAGGCTGGAGTCTGGCACAGCTTACCTGTTCTGGCTTGTGTGCTCTGTCCATAAGGGACCTATGTGACTCAGTGTTTGGGTTGCTAACAGCTCAGTGGGCTGTTAAGGCTCAGAGAGAGTGCTCACTGCTGTAGATGATGTTTCCTATTGAGTGAATCCATCAATCTGGCCTTGGCCCTCTGTATAATTGTTTTGAATTTGTCATTGTGGAGTGATAGTCGTATTAAAAGCTGTCTCTTACGCAGGCCTGCAGAGAACTGTCTTCCCTATGCAAACCTATATCTGCAGTTCTGTTTAGTGATATTTTGCCATAAGGTTTCTCCATCTCTAAGAGCTGATGGGTATGATTCCATTACAGTGAAATATGTGATATGGCCCTCTACCTGGAACTGCTTGCTACCAAAAGAAAGGTTTCCTAGAGTTAGTGTCGCTTGCATCCTGCAAGCTATTTGGCAGCTATATTTGGTGAGCTCTTGTGCCATTCTGAAACCAACATGGTACCTAGGAATATAGTACTAAGGTAGCAAATGAACAGGAAGGTAGGCATGTAGGAAGACTAGTATATGTATTAGACCAACATGCCTATATCAGAGAATGTTTAAGTGAATGACCCTGTAGAGTATCCATATTTCAGTGTTGGATTAACTTTGAGAAGTCCTAAAATAACTCATGCAGCCATGCAAAGATCATGTTGGCTCTGTATTTCAAAATTAATTCCTATTGGATACCTTCCAGGGCTGGGTTGTACCCTCAGGCATCTGTGGAATAGTGGTCAAAGGTAGCAGGGTTCTTTTAAAAGCCCTGCTGCCATGACAAGGGCTGGTGGTTGGCTTTTTTTTCATTTATTTTTTAGTTTATTTTATTTTACTTTTTTTAATGTCTACAGAGGCATTGAATTTCCAAGTAGCCAAGGATTTCCAGGTTCCTCTGAAAGGAGTTCTGTCACAGATTTTCTTCCAGGAGAAACTTTTAAGCAGTAAATAGCTGGTTGCAGACACAAAATAGGAATATAGGGAAGAAAATTTGAACCAGAGTAAGTCCATCTAGAAAGTGTAAGAAGTTGGGGGAAGACTGTTGCAACTATTAGCTGGCTTCCTTGGTTTCACTTGTAGAAGAAAAGGTTAGGACAAATGGTAAACTGCAGTCAGCTGCAGGCAAGTATTTCCTTGAAAAATAAGTTCTGAATTCCTTTTAAGCTTTTTTTCCTTTTAGCCTTTTGTAAAGTCCAAGATTCTTTGGTTCGGAGGGGCTGAAATCCTTGCGAGCACATGGGTTCTGAAGAGGGAGATTCTCCTCCATGTATTCCTGTTTCTAGGCTATGCCTTTTGTCTCTACTGCTAACCTGAATTTTGCATAGTAGCAGAAGCTCAAAACTAAAGTTAAAACCTCAGCTGCTATCTACATGTTTCTGAATAGCAACAGTGAGGGAGTTAGAGTTTTAGGGGCAATTGTTACTTGTCAGCATGTGTGATTTGTTGTGTTTAACAGTGTGTTTAAGAAAGTTCTGGCGCATTGAATTAATGGGAGGGCTGGATGCAGAGAGAATATGAGGCCCGTGCAGCCTTACACTTGCTTTCATGTCGTGTGACCTGGAACACGTGTCTAAAATTAGACTTAAATATGAGTCTTGCAGTTCATTACCTTCCAAAGTGTTCTGAGATAGTATTTAATAATGATGTTAGGTTTTATGTCTTGTGCTGAATAAGGGTAAACCTAAGTACATGCTTAACTGCTTTGCTAATGGGAGGATACTGTAAATTATGTTTAGCGTGGTATAAACATACCTAAAGTGTTGTCCTCTTGTTCTGTTTCTGATATATTGCTGTTCCGTTTCTGATATATTGCTGTAATATATTACATTGTTTGTAGGCTATCTTGTCAGAATTGGAGGTTTTGGACTCTAGGAAGACTCCTCTAAAATAGCAACTCTTGTAGCATTCAGAGCATAGGCAAGCATTTTCTGCTGAAATAAGCTTGATATTTGAAAGAGATGAATGCATCATTTGAGGCTAAGTTCAAAGTATGGAAAATGAATTTAAAAAAACTCAACTGTGAATTGTAGCAAGATGAAAGAATAACCCTTTAGGACCTCCTGGAGCATCCTAAACCCTAGTTTCCTGAAAACAGTTTTAAAAGGAATAAATAGCCTTTTTTTTTTTTATTTTAAACTGTTTTCTCTCTCTTTTCAGCTCTTAGTCCGTGCAGGTGCTAAGCTGGATATTCAGGATAAAGATGGGGATACTCCCCTGCATGAAGCCCTGAGACACCACACCCTGTCACAGCTCCGCCAGCTCCAAGACATGCAAGATGTGGGCAAGGTAGATACTGCTTGGGAGCCATCAAAGAACACAGTAAATAAAATGCATTTATTTATTCCTTCTTTTTTTCTGTAAATTTGTCTCTTTTGTTTGTCTAGTTAGTCTAGTTCTGTACTGTTGAACTGTTTTTTGCCAGCATAAGTTTACGTTGACATTCTGAATTAAACTGCATTGTAGGCAGAAATCATATTGTTATACGTGGCTTTTCACATGTAGTCATTATCTTTGTTAAAGAAAAATAAGGTTATTTAATTCAAAATGTATCTACAAATCTCTCTTCCATAGTGAACAGCCTGCCAAAAAATTAAAAGCAGCTTTTTGGGAAAGAGAAATAAACAGTATTACAGTACAGAATAAAACTAAAATTATTTTCTGGTATTTGATGTCTTGCATGATGTCTTTGTAGCTTTAATTATTCAGCTACTTCTGTAACCTTCTAATCTTTATATATTCATTGTTACGTATCTTTCTGACAGAGTTCATTTCAGGAATTGTGCCGTAATAAGGAAACCGTCAAAGAAACTCCAAGTAATAAAGGTCAAAATGTTTTCTTGAAAGAAATGCTCACGTTCATATGTGTAAACCCCATATGGAAAGATGAAATTTATAGTTTTGCTGAAAGGCAAAGGAGAAATAAAATTCTGAAGTGATTTGGATTGAGAAAACCAAGCAACATCCGTGTCTTTTGTTTTTTTTTCTTTAAATATTAGAGGATCAGATCTGCTGAATCATTAATTATCAGTATTTTAATAAAAAATTAATTTTAATAAAAAATAATTATCATTATTTTTTCTAATTTTAACTGTGGGTGATTTTTTGCATTTTATTTAAAAAAAATAAACCCAACACCTATTAAAAAGCCTTTGTTCAAAACAATAATTCCACTGTACAGTAAATGTTTTCAGACAGGTTACTTCATCTCACTGAAATACACTGGAATAAGCTTTGACAAGAGGTTTAAAATATGGCTGGCATACATAAGAACACACTTGTGTCCTTTTAAGTGAGAGGAGGAAAGTGATTACAACTTAGTTATTTTCATGATCTGAAATGGACTCTGGGAGGTGGTCGAAACACTTTATGTGCATGTATTTAATTGTGAAATGAGTGAACAGAGAATTTATTTTTTTCTGATTCTACATTTCAGAAATAGGTTTTTCTGTTGCCCATCTTATTAGTAAAACCTGCTGACTTGCATTGGTGCCTGTGAAGGCTAGCACCCTCCAGGGGGAGGGTTGCAGCCATACTAGGCACTAAGACATAATGGTTTGTTTTGTGCATTGCTTGTTGGGTGTTTTCATTCTGTGCACCTGAAATATTGTAGACTACCAGGGAAATGTCATGGGATGCAATGTTGCCCTTGTGTTCTTAAAGCGTTCAGCATTCAGAGGCATTTTAGGACTCAAGATTTTCTTGAATAATGTTGATGACTGTTAGAGGTGGAGGAGCCATTCTTGGCATCATGTATATCCACTCCAAATGAAGGAAATGATTTGAGTTCAATTTTCCTCTTGAAGACACAGTAATGGTTTCGTTCAGGGACAGCTTGGAGCCCATAAGGTACAAGTATGGAGGGCAAGAGAACTCTTGTCCCAGCAAATGAGAAGGGACTATAGCAAATTGTTTGGTATACCCATGCCTTAAAAAAAAAAATGGCCACTCTGCCAGCCTTAGGGCAAATAGGCTTTCGCCGAGCCTTGCTCTGACCAGGATTACTGACATGGTTCAAGGTACCTGAACTGAAGCTGGATAAAATTTCTGCTTCATTTCAGCCAGTGCTGTAAATTGAGGTGCAGAAAAATGGTCTGAATTTATAAACAAAAATGTTCTGTGATCTGCAGACAAAAAAAAAAAAAAAACAAACAATTTCTCTCCATAACTTAGTGGTTTTCCTCATATGAAGTCTTACAAGCTTTACTGTTCTTACCTGATCATAAGAGTACATCAAAAGGACTATGAGTATATGAATTCATGAAGTGATCTTCAAGAGTCTCGGAGCACCTCAGTAATAATACTTATAAGAACTTTTAACTGAAAAAAAGCATGTAGACTGAGGTTTTAAAAAAAAGTTGTTTCACTGGGAAACTGTGTGGCCGTATGTTGAGAAGAATAATCTTGCAGTTATCAAGGCAGGGTAAAGACTTTTAATACATTCTTCAGTGCTGCAAGACATGGACCCAAACCAAGCCTTTTTCTTCACAAGTCACCTCTGAGGGATGGGGGAAATAACTAGAGAGGTTTTGGAAACTGTTTTCTTCATAGTTCAGACTTCAAAATATGCAGCCTTTCAGGCTGCAGTGACAGGTGCTACCTGGTATTTAAATTTATTCCTTTATGTTGCTCTGCCTAACGTATGTAGTTATTTAAATACTAAATGGTTGTTAATCAAGCCCGTATTACTGCATTTTTAGGATTAATATTTGATAGCCAGCTTTTAGAAGACCAGCTGCAGAGATAAATTGTACAACCTGAAAGTGGCATAGAAAGATGTACATCAGTCAAGTTGAGCACTGTTGCCAATTAGTGGGAAAGAGGTGCATGCAAAATCCTGCCTCTGTCCTAGTGTTGAAGCCTTTACAATTCTGGAATTCAGCACTTAAAACCCTCTGAATTGGAGCTGTCCCAGCTGTGCCAAAGCTGTTCCTTTGAATATAGTTTCATGTAGTTTGCTGAGAGATTTGTAGTGGTTGCCCAAAGTTTCATATTCTATATAGTCTCCATTACACTTACGCTTTTTATCTGCTTAAGCTGTAACATAAAAGACGTTATGAGCAGGCCTGTTATGCTCCAGAGTAGGTGAATCCTTGCCTTGCTTGGCTATGCTAGTGAGCCTTTTCATTTTTCTGCCTGTCCCTGTGAATGGTGTGTAATAGATACACTGATAAAGAAATGCAGTAGTACTTACAAAAGGGCAAAGGAGCATTACATTATTAGGATGGGAGGACAGGTACATGAATTTAAACCCCTCCAGGCTGAGAATGCAACTCAAACCAAGTCTTTTCTGGGCAGGTGCTTTACTCACTAGATTAAAATTAAGTGCACATTTGTTTCTCTGCCCAACTATGTTTTCAGTCCAAGTGTGGTGATTGTAGCTGAACTCGGCAGTTTCAGTGTACTTAAAAGCGTATTCTTGATATACCCAGTGGGACTTTACAGTGCTCATGTAGAAGAACAACAACTTCACAAGTGAGTATAGGTGTGCAGGAGATTGAATGCTTCAGTACCTGAACTATTCCTTGCTGAATTTTAGTTCCTTAAAGGCAACTTTAGTATAGCGGACTCAGTACTAAGCAACCACATGATTGCTTTGATTTTAGTGCTAGAGACTCCTCCTTGGGCTTACAGATCTATGCATGTATGTGTATATGTGCATGTTAAGTAGTTTTCGTTTAGCCAGACTATTCCTAACTGTTAAGAGTGTCTCTCAAATTGCTTGCATATTTGGTTTCTTACAGTTAATAATGGGACTTGGCACTCAGGGAGCAGAGAAGAAGAGTGCAGCATCTATTGCCTGCTTCCTGGCCGCCAACGGAGCTGACCTCAGCATTCGTAACAAGAAGGGTCAGTCTCCTCTTGATCTCTGCCCTGATCCTAGTCTCTGCAAAGCATTGGCTAAATGTCACAAAGAAAAAGTCAGGTTTGTATATTTGTATATGTAAAATATGCAGTTTCCAATTCTCTGCTTTCCACAGATTAACCGTGATGTATTTAAAATGTTGTGTCTTTTTAGCAATAGTGTTAAAACATACAAGCTTTCTCTTGCCTTTCAGTGAATTCTTTCTTTTCTGTGGTACGTTGAATGCTGTTTGCAAGTACATTAATAGAAACTTACACAAGTCTTTCAGGACTTTCATACATGTTAAGATGGGAGGGAAGAAAATGGGGACAATGTGCAAGTGGAGGCTGGTAGAACTTCAGGCTATCCCAGAAAAGGGCAGGGGGTGGGGTTGGTGGTGGAAATCACTGAAAGAATAAGCACTGCAACAGGGTTGCCCAGGTAGGTTGTGAAACCTCTGTCCATGCAGGTTTTGGAGACTCAAACAGGCAAAGCCCAGTATAACTTTGTGTGAATTAACTGTTGACTCTGCTTTGAGCTGGTGACCTGAGTACCTGTCAATCTGCACAACTGCAATTCTGTAAAAAGAGGAGGGGGATAAGTCTGATGTCTCGGAAGCACTTTTCATTGAAATCATAATTCCTAGAGATGTTATGTTACCAAGTGCATATAGCATGAGAAGTTTCAGCTTGCTGATAGTCCTAGTTGTGTTCCTGGTTGTGAATCTTGTGTGGCTTATGTGATTCTCCTCCTTAATTCCTCTGTGGAAATCAAGACTGACACGCATACCATTTTTGTTGATGCTGCCCTAGTGTTTAAGGTGCTTATTTTCTTCAGGGTCTTTCTGTCTGTCTGTCTTTGCCTTGTCCCTGTGTGGCTGTTATTTCTTGCCACCTTTTATGGGCTTATGAGGGCTGTAGGAATGAGCTGGTTAGGTTCAACAGGCGCTCCCTCTGCTGGATGAGCAGTGGCATAGGACAAAGATCCGAGGTGAGTACACCGTGTGAGTTTGCAGGTTCTACAAGCCTGTCCTTTGCTAAGTTTTGGACGTGTATTCAAGATTAAGGTTTTACACCGTGCAGTTCTGAATCTACAGGGTACGTATCTCAATAGCGTAAATCCTTAGGATGGGAGGGAAGGGTTCTCTACATTCACGAGATGTTATTTTAACTTGTGTGGCCTGTTTTCTGTTCAATGTCTTTATCTGAGTGTGTGACCTTGCACTCTGGCGCCAACTATACATTTGGGAAAATGCAGTTCACGTTGGTTTATGATGATACTGTGATGCTTGAATGCATAGGAATATATAGATACAGCAAATTGATATTTCTTAAAATGAGTTTGACTGCAGGTTTCTTTGTAGTGGCCAGGTTGGTTCCCGAAGTCCATCTATGATCAACAATGATTCTGAAACCTTAGAAGAATGTATGGTGTGTTCAGACATGAAGAGAGATACTCTGTTTGGCCCATGTGGACACATTGCCACATGCTCTCTGTGCTCACCACGGGTGAAAAAATGCCTCATCTGTAAAGAACAAGTTCAGTCTAGGACAAAGGTAAAAAAATTCCAAAGTCTATTGGTTCTCTTCCTGTTTTTAATGGAAAAGTAAAACAAAGGTCAAGGAAAAGTTTAGTATGTTTTAAACGGTATTTCACCTTAACAGGTATCTCACTGGTTGGAGTTAATTTTGCATTATAATCCTGTCATGTTCCAACATTATAGGTTACTCTCTTCTGTTTGCCTGTACTCATGTCCTCCCTGCACAGGTACTCAGAATTGCATTTTGAGGTGCTGAATTAGTTAAAATAACACTGGATGGAGCTTCTTACAGTCCACATGCCTTGCCAAAAAGAATGTAAACGCAAATTACTGTAGGGAGCAGGAGGTAAACTTCTCTCATATGTATGTTCATTGTTCTTTACAGATTGAAGAATGTGTAGTGTGTTCAGACAAAAAGGCAGCGGTGCTTTTCCAGCCTTGTGGTCATATGTGTGCCTGTGAGAGTAAGTAAACTTGATGGAAGTTCTTTTTGAAGTAATCTTGAAACAACTTTTTTAATTCCATTGCTAAAAGTTCATTAGTAATCTGATTTCAGGTCAGATTATTTTCTGGACATCTTCAAGTAGGATGGGAGAGAGTCTCTGAATTTGTGTAGTTTATAGGACCCACTCTACTGATTCACAGTAACCGTCATCATGTTGATCATTGTCATCATCAGATGATCATTTGCCATTTGTAGAAGAATTACAGCCTCCTTTCTAGGTTTATATCAGAAGATACAGGTTTGCTCTTTAAGAAGCCATACCTCTTTGCCCCTGGAGCATTAGGACAGTAAATGAGATCCTTTGTTCTAAAGCAAGAAGCAGGTAGTGATGACATGCTTGGAAATTCTGGTTTCAAATGTGTGTGATTTTACTTAATTTCTGTAATTCTTGTGGAATAGATATCCATTTGGAGCAACAGGAGCCTGCTTGCTTAAAATAGAATAAGATAAACAGAATAGATTTACTTTGATTCCCAAACAAGACATTGTTTATAGGTGTGATTTTTACATAAGATTATGTGAAGATGAACAGAAGTAGTTATTTGTATTATAAGCATTTATTATGGCATTGCTGTATAGTTATTATGAATAAATAAGCTCATGGTAGGAAGGGATAAAAATAAAATAGTGGGATTCAGAGTTGATTTATTTCTCTGTCCTCTCAGACTGTGCAAGCTTGATGAAGAAATGCGTACAGTGTCGGGCAGTGGTTGAGCGAAGAGTGCCTTTCATAATGTGCTGCGGAGGGAAAGGTACAGAAGATACCACTGATGATATTTGTGAGTGACTCCAAAACCCATTCTCTTTCACATTCCCCCACCAGCTTCGTACTCTTTTAAGTGACCTAAATTTTTTCTCTCCTTTTTAAAGAAAAGTTTAATAAAAACAGTATTAAGCCGGTGTGCTGTTTGTTCTGCTTTCTACATTGGTAGCAGCAGATGCAATGGTAACACTAGTCACTACACTAAAAGGATTCCTTGCAGCTGAAACGTATGACACTTGGATGCTTATTAATGAAGGAAAAACTGAAAATAGTCAGTAGTTTTCCAAGTGAGCAAATAAATGTATCTTTTTTACTTCTGGAACTCTCTTAATTGATAAAGGAATAGTAAATATTTTGCATCTAGGTACAAGCAAGTTTCCTGACAGATTGTTCAGTTTTACATCTCCTGCTTTGACTAGGTTTTTAAATTTCCTGTGACATCTCTCAATTTCTATTTATTCTGTATGTGTGGTATGCAGTGTTTGAATTGAGTTTATGTGAATTGGAATATTAGATCATTCTTGTCATACTGTTCCTAGATAAAGATAAGAATAATCTTTTAAATCAGGTTTTTAATACACAGAAATTTAAAATTTGTCATTTGAAATACTTATTTCTCTTGTCTTAGAGTAGCATTGCTTTCCGGATCAGTCAAATATAGGGATATTGACTTGAGCTTGTTTGAATTTTGAACAAACTACTTCTGAGACACTTGTGCAATTCCCCAAAGAGAATTAGCTATGTAGATAAGAAGTCTTTTCAGTGTGAAAGGTTTGGCTTTATTTTTGACATGCAAAGAAATTTATTCCAAGAACTTCCCTGGCAGATAAGAACCCTGAGAATATTAAGGGGCTACAGGCATGTTGAGCATCATTATTGAGGCAATACTTGTCAAAAAATTGTGGCTGTTAAATGCAAAGAAGTTCTCTATGAATTGAGCTGCAGTGATGTCACAGGGAATTTAATTAGATTATCAAATATGTTTGAGTAACATTACTTCAGATAATGGACAAACTGTAGTCAGTACACTGGAAATAGTTATTCCTGTTTCACTGGATTGATGCATAATCACGTATCTTTATTTTGTCTAAATTACAGCAAGTGGAAACATTCCAGTTTTGCAGAAAGACAAAGACAACACCAATGTCAATGCAGATGTACAGAAGCTGCAACAACAGTTACAGGACATCAAGGAACAGGTAAAGGTCCTGGATACAAATTTTATTGACCCCTGAAATAACTGAAAAGGCCAATGCATTTTCTGTTATTTAAACCAGAATAACGTGTTGAAATGCTTCAGTTTTAACTAAATAACCAATAACTTTTGTGTGTGATGTGGCTTGTATGTCTTCTATATACAGGTTAAAAAAAAATAATCGAGAGGCCATGTTTGATAATCCATCTATTAGAGCATTTGTGTTGGTGTGACTAAAGAAGGATGCCTTGCCTGTTTAGGTGACATGAACAGTAATGAAAGCAGAAGTTTTTCAGTATCAGTCTCTATCTGGGTTCAGTGTAGTAGTCCGCTTTATTCTGTGTGCTAGTACATTGCACACATAAAGCTGTTTGTATTATTTGTTCCCTGGAAGATTATGTGACATAAAGGGAAATGTTTCTGAAGCACATCTTAATGTTGCAATCTTGGGTAGTGATACTGAAAATGTGATGTCAGCTTAGTACTGGATTGTCTTACTTAGATCATTTTTGGAAAAAAAGCTACTTGTTTTTTGTGTCATGGTGGGGTAGGAAGGTCTACACACATTAAATCAATATGAAGTAAAAATATTATTTAAAAAATATTAAGCTTTCAGGTTAGTCTCTGGGTTATGCTATAGCAGTGATCTGCTATGCTTAAGATTTATTTATTGTTAAATTTCCTAATATATATGTTGCATATTTCATATTGCATCGCTACTGCCATTGACTGTGTAACCTGTCAAAATCTTTCACAGACTATGTGTCCTGTTTGTCTGGACCGTCTGAAGAATATGATCTTTCTCTGTGGCCATGGAACATGTCAGCTTTGTGGAGACCGAATGAGTGAATGCCCCATATGCCGCAAGGCAATTGAACGAAGAATCCTTTTGTATTGAGTAGCGGAACCAGTGTATTTTATTGGCTTATGAAATTGTAAGGACATTTTGATGGTTTAAATCTGTAAGTTTGAAAGGTAGTAAAGGGTTCTAATGAAAACATTTCTAATACTGTAGCACAGATTCATTACATGGTAATTGTTTAAAGACTGTGAACACACCAAACAAGAGAACAGTATTTGAACTTTACTCTTAAAAACCATCTAAGCCTGAAACTAATTTACAGCAATCTTTTGGGGGTTTTGTTTTGTTTCTTTCTTTCTGTTGCCGCCTTCTTAAATCTTAAAGGAACAATCTTATTTTGGTTTCATTCAGGGTTTGTTTTTTTTTTATGTATGCATCAGGTGCAAGTGATGTAAAGGTTTTTGGGGTTGGTGCTTTTTTTGTTTCTTTTTTGTTTGTTTTTATTGTCAGTTAATATCAAATATAAATATTTAGGGTTTTTTTGTTTAATGCTTTTCTGGAGAACTTTGACATTTTTTGTGACGTTTATGATTCACAATAATTTCTGTCTTGAAATATACAATATTGCAAAATCAATACTAAGTGTATACACAAGAGTAATAAATATAATAGTCCCATAAGATCAGGTCTCAAAATACAATGCTAAGGTAATTCTTACTTTATCTTGCCCTTCATTGCTGAGGATGTGTTGGGAAGGAAACAGTAAAAAGAAAAAAACTAGTTTAGAAACATTATGTTCCCAAAAGTGCACTTTAGTCTGTCAGGTTCAAGCTAATTTAAATAGTCAACTTCTTAATTCTGCTAGCCACATAATTTTGTATGGAATTACTTTTTACTTAACTGAAAAGGAAAATATTTGAGCAACTGGTTAGTTATCTGTTTCAGATGAGTGAATTTGATCAGTTGTAAAGGAACACGTGTACGTATGCAGGGCCATTTAAAAATTGTGGGTTTAAGAATTAGGAAAAGTTAGAGATTTTTGCAAGATTTCCTTGCTTAAATTAGTTTTATTATCTCCAGGCAGACAGTGTCAACAGCAAAAGAGAAGATTTAACTTTGCTTATTCATCTGAGCAGGGTGTTAATACCAGAACGTACCTGTGAACAGTACTGGGTCATACTGCAAATGAAGATGTTGACAGAGCAGTGGATTTTGTGAGCCATGTTTAGGTGAGTTGAAGTTGGCTTAAGGAGTTAGCTGTCACTGATGTGAGAAACAGATGTTCTTGACCCCAAAAATGATACTGTCAGGAGCTGCATACTGTTAACAATTTGATAACAAGTACATCCTTCTGTCTTTTTTGAATGGAAGAATGTATGCCGATTTAATGATCGTGTAGCTAAAAGGAATGTGTTCTTACTCCTAAGTGATTTGGCAGATTTTTGAGTACATAGTTTATGTAGCCCTTTGCTATTGTGCGTTTAGATGTGCTCTTGCAGAACAAGAAGGAAATCCATACTGGAGTCACTTAGGTGCCTTACTTGCAACTAAGATTAATTTCTTATTTAATTCTAATTGTATATGTCAAAAATGTGGAAAAAGGAATAGTTCGGGAAAAGGTCCAAGTAAGGATGAAGGCATAAAACTGTGATCTCTACAGATAAATCAACCTCAGTCTTTTGAAGCTTATGTTGATATGCCTGAATTGTGCAAACATTGGCAAAAGTCTCAGAAGAATGCTGCTAGTAAACTGTAGAGACAGGTGAACTCCTAACCAGTAAGGTTTAAATACTGAATAGAGTTTTCCAGGACACAGCTACAGTGATACATTTTTCCAATGTATGTAGAGTGACTTTTAACATAGCAAAGTGATGGAATATGTAGCCTTTCTATAGCCTTCTTTAAACCCGATCTGGAATTGCAAATGTTCATCATTCACTGGACACAATCTGAACCTGGATTCAATATAGTAGTCTGCTTTATTCTGTATACTAGTAGTCATCTGTTCTCAGATAATCTGTCTATCTGTCATCTTGGCCAAATGAAATAGCCCTCCCTTTTCTTGCTTTTTGGTTCCCTATTCTAAAATACCAAAATTTTGAGGAGCTTTGGAAAGTTTTTTGATATAAGGCTGGTTTTTAGTTCAGCATTTCACTGTCTCCACTTAAGTTCTGAGTGCACCTGAGTCTTCACTGCCATTTTCATTTGGCCAATATGCATGTCACAAAGTCTGACCTTTTTTGTGGCATGTTTGGCAGCTGAGCTTTCTGTAGTAGGCTTTGGTTTCCTGTCAGTCTTCTCCTAAAAATAATTCTTTAATAGGCTGTGCCATTTGACAGTCCATTCCGAGTTTTAGTTTGTAAGCATGAGATCTTTACCTGGGTTTCCTCTGGTTCTGGTAGACATGTTTGGAATATTGTGTCCTATTTATTCTTCAAGGGGACCTCTATAAACTGTTGTCAGCCCAAAGACAGGGTGGATTTCTTCTTGATAACACAGCTCAAAACTGAAACCTCAATCTAGCAGTTGCGATCTTCCTAATTCTTTTTCACTGGAACAAGCCAAAACTACTTGAAAGTATTCCAGTTTAGCATCAATTGAATAATTCAGCTGAGTAAGAATTGATGATGTCCAGCATCCTGGATGGGAGACTGGAGTTGAATGTTGAATACTCCTTGTCTGCAGGAGGCATATATTGTAGCATAGATAGGTAAGTGCTCTGTTTGGCTTGTATTTTTCAACAGAGAAGCTGCAAGTTACTTATAACACTCCTAATACGTGGGTACCATTACAGTCCTGTGGGAGTAGAGACAATAACCAAGGGTATTGCTATAGGAGGAGCTTTAGTCTTCTATACTGTGGTGACACTAGATGTATGTGACTGCATGCAAGTTTGTGATTGGACTCATTCAACAATGTTGTGTGCCAGTTGAAATTCAAGTATGTCAACTTAATGGTACCAAGAGAAACAGCTGAATTAGAAAAACTAGGTGAGCTAACCAAGTGGCTTGAATTACTAATACAGCCATCGTATTAGCAGGTGGAAGAGCTGTGTCTTATATTGGGAAGGCTATACAGTGCTTGCCTTTCAGAACACTTACTGAGGAAAAATATTTGTAAATCTATATAGTTTATGGAAATAGATATTTAGATTCACACACTGTGTTTGGATTCTGATGTAGAAGGTGAACTAGTGTGTTGAGGAAACTATTAAGCTCATTCAATTTAGCCTGGCATCGTCTGTGCAACTTGCACAGAGTGCAGTTTAGTTGTATAACAAGCAGTCACAGGATGAAAAACAGAAGCAGCTCAGCTGCAAGCCAGAGGGGTAATAACAAGTAGGGGAGTTAAGCTATGTCACTGAGCCACTGTATTCAGCAAAAGCTGAAAGTGTAAATCTCATTATTATGTAAAGTCTGCAAGCTTTGTTTATTACTATTATCTCCCAGTACTTACTAGCAGTTTGTTTCTTGAAACCATCAAGAAGGTATATAATAATACATATTTTTCAGGTGTGAGGTATGCTCAGATGTTTGGTTTGGGATTTTTTTAATTTAGTAAACTACGTAAACAGTCACATCACTACACAGTGATTTAAAGTATGAAGGCTACCTTAGAGGCTATCAGTATATGCTAAATAGCTGTAGCTTGTTCACTTCTGTATGACTATATTTGACATTTTTTCCCAAAACCAACTGGCTATCACTTACTATACCCCAAGCTCATATGGCACTTCTCAAAATTTGGGCTATTATTACCTACTTCCCATTTGTTGAAATACTGTGCACTTGCATGTTGGAGTTTGGACAAATCCCAATTTGCTGGAGTAGATACTAAAAATTACTCTGTCAAGAGAATAAACAAGTTTATTTGTAAATATCAAAGTTTGAGGAGGTGTTGTTCTTAACTTGGACTGAGTGAGGATATGGCAGATTTGCACAAGTACTTGTGCCTTGTTAGCGTAGTCTTACAATTGGTATTTTAGCCTCTTACAAAGACATGAAATGGTCTTTTAAAAATAATCTAAGTACTTATTGTATAGATATTTTCTAGAGATGGGAGTTTTCTGTATGCCTAATTATTTTTAGCAGTATTAATTGCAGTTTGTGTAAACACTAAATTGTTTGAAGAAGCTGCTTTGAGCTAGTGATCTAAGCTTCCTCTGCAAATTAAATGTCAGAAACTTCATTTTACTCTTTTGGTAGCAGCTGGTGAAGAGCCTGTCCTGTTCTTTGTGCTGCATGGGTCAAGTTTTCACTTAAAAAAAAAACAACAACACTACAGCCTAACTTTTAGCAGTGCTACCTCCTTTCTGTCGAAGTACTGAATTCTTCTCTAATCGGTCTGTGTCTTTGGGAAGGGATGGCGAAACACATCAGTTTTGGTTTGCTTCATCAGTTTCAATGTCTGAATACAGTGAAGGTTTGTTGTTTTGTTTTTTTTTTTTAGTGACTATAAACTTCGCACGATGGAAGTGTGATTTGCCACAATGTACATTGTATTTCATTCTTGTGTAAGTTTCTGGAATTTGTATTATTGTATTTTTACATATTTCGTAATTTGTGTTGACAAAGAAAAACTGTTAACTGCAGAAGTGTTAGCGTGTGCCATTTTTATAGCTAAGCCTGTGGTAAATATGAAAGTTCTGACTCAGGGCTTTTTAACAGCTTAAAAGTTCAGAATATCCTTCAGCCCATCTTGGAGAACGTCAGAGATTTAATGACTGTACAGTGCCTTGAATAGAACTATTGAATGGGCAGCAGCCATAGAGTCCTTACAGAATGCAAGTATCTTTCGAATGCAGTTAGTTGATAATATAATTGTAATAACTCTGCCATGGATTTATAAACTTGTATATACTTTCTCTAAAGGAAAACTGGCAAGCTTGGGTATTGTTAAGCTTTCTGAAAGTTGTTTGTTGCACCAGTCATGGGAGCCTGAAGGGCATAGTCAGTTTTACAGAAGCAGTATTTGTGGCAGACAGCTGATAAAATATTCTGTATGTGACATTTTTAGGGTGGGGGGGGAGGTCATTGTATACGCAAACATGTAAAAACACCTGCTTTACTCTGGCCCAGTAAGTCTTTGTAAGGGGGAGAGAAATAATTGCAACAAATCTGTATATTTGCATGCCATTTCATAGTTACAAAAGTTTTAAGTCTCATCTCTGAGCTTCTAAGAAATACTTTTTGTCCCAAGCTTTAGTGTCCTTACGAATGCAGACTGTTCATATTAGGGAAGAGGTTTGATTGAACCGCAGGAACATTTTTGCTTGTGTTAAAAACAACTTTGTATTTTCAGTAAATTGTAGATTTTGACTTTACTGTTTATTGGAAAAAATTAAGGTTGTCTGTGTGACTGTAGTGGATTTCTGTATGCAGATAGAATTATGTAATTGCTTTCATGAAAACTGCTTAGCAAGGTCTAAGCTTTTCAAAGAAAATGCTAATGTACTGTATGGTTAATAAAACATTATATGTGATGTATACTGACTTTTTCAAAAGCTTTGATTTAAAAGTGTAATTGGACTGAATTGATACTGGTTTTTGTGTACGCATCATTGGGAAGGGAGCTGTGGCTTGTTTGACTTCTTCCTCCTTAGCTGTAATGATGTCTGATGTCACCACAGAATTAGAAGATCATGTACCTGAAGCAAATGTTTGGTAAGCGTGTTAGTTCC